TTCAAGAAGGAGCAAAGGAAATGATTATTTTTACCATGATTCAGATTCAGACTCTGACTGTCTTTCAATTCAACCCGGTCAAGATGAAAGGATTGATTCATCGGAGCCTGAGGAAGATATGCCGGTCTTGCCCTTGGAACAGGGAATTAATGTAAATGTCGAAAAATCTACCAAAGGTCCAGGATTGTTTTCCATCTTTGGCACTGACGCCACAACAAGAAAGGACACTGTGAATGAACCGGGTATAAGGCTAGATCAGTCTCAAAGAGATGTAATTAATCATAGTTGGAAGTGTTCGACTCCATCTAATTTGACAGCCTTTTCAGAGGAAAATATTGAATTGTTTCCCATATGCGAGGAGGACAGGATTTTTTTACAAGTACCAACCTTGGACACATTAGTTGAATCATGTCTCATTCAAAAACATGGTACCTCGGCATCTTTTGCTAAGTCAGGCCGTTCACTATATCAACAGCCATATAAGATGGCCGAAAAATTAGCTTATAAAGGGCAACAAGCAGCTTTAATGGGTATAAATATTCAGCTATATACTCAACAAGCGTTAGGTACACTTATGCAGGGTCTTGTGTCTCAGGATAGTGAACTCACCAAAGAACAAATCATGCATCAAATTCAAAACATTTTTGCCATGTCGACAAAAAATCTTGATCAATTTGGCAGGGTGGGTGCCTTTCACCATGCAATCAGAAGAAGCATGGCCATGACTGACTCTTCTCTCTATGAGGTAGAGAACTCACGTACCTTGTTTAATCTCCCTCTTACAGGGGATGGAGTTTTCGGTTCTAGCCTGGAGAAGGCTCTGAAAGACAAAAAAGAGCAGAAGAAAGCCGTCCAGGAACTTTTGCCGGTTTTATATAACAGGAAAAGAAGAAGTAATTATATACCAGAGGCATCATCAGCTAAGCGCTCTAACACTTTTCAGTCTCGCCAAGGTAATACTTTGAATAGTGAACATATTTTTCGGGCTCCAGCAACACCAAGAGGGAGGACATACAATAGGGGCCAGTCCTACTCATTTCGAAGGGGACGAAGAGACTATCAGGAGGGAAGAAAACCGTCATTTACCTCTGGCTCAGAAACTAGAGGTTCCAGATCTACTAACCAATGACACAATTAAGTGTTTTGATGAGACGTCCGGAGATACCTGTGGGTGGGCGTCTGTCTTTTTTTCTGACACAATGGCAAGAGATCACTTCAGACAGCTGGGTCTTACGAACCATACAGGAGGGCTACAGACTCGAATTTCTGAAAATTCCGCCTTTTCTTGGCATAAAGCACACTCGGGTGGCGGCCAAGGGTTTACGTCTTATAAGACAGGAAATCACATCTCTTTTAGGAAAAAATGCAATAGAGCCAGTGTCAGAAAAAAAAAAAAGATCCATTCAGGTTTTTACAGTTCGTTGTTCCTAGTAACCAAAAAGAACGGGGAACTTCGACCTGTGATAAATTTGAAGCCATTAAACCGATATCTCCGGAAGACACATTTCAAGATGGACACTCTCAAAAAGGTTTTACGTCTAGTCAAATCAGGAGATTGGGCCTTTTCGATCGACCTAAAAGATGCTTATCTCCATATACCGATTTTTCCGGAACACAGGAAATATCTAAGGTTTTGCGTAGAAAACAGAGTATACCAATTCAAAGTTCTGTGTTTCGGACCAACATCCGCCCCTCGAGTGTTTACAAAAATTCTCTCAGTGGTTGTGGAGCACCTTCGTTTTCAAAATGTTCGAATGGCAGCGTTTCTGGACGATCTCTTGTCAGTCAACCAGAAGAAGGCAGATCTATTGAAAGATCGCAGGAAAATGGTGGATCTTCTGATTCGACTAGGTTTCATTATAAATATAAAAAAATCTCAACTAGTTCCTTCACAGGAGATCACATACATAGGTGCTCTGTTAAAGTTCAACCAGGGTATGGTTTACCCAAGTTTGGAGAGGGCAAACAGTTTACGCAAATCAGTACAGTCCCTTCTGGGGGGTCAGGATTCAGCAAGGGACTATCTCCGTCTCTTGGGCAAGATTGCATCATGTCTGGAATTGATACCCAATGCACGTTTGTTTATGAGGCCAATTCAGTTTCATCTATTGAGTGTTTGGAAGATGTCGACAATGAGTTTGTCAGTTAAAGTTCCTGTGTCTCCAGAACTAAGATTAAATGTAAATTGGTGGTTACAGGAAGCCAACATTTTAAAGGGTCAATCGTTACTGCCAATGCAGACCTCGGTAACCATAACTACAGATGCTTCACTGTGGGGTTGGGGAGGTCATCTAGACAACAGATTTGTGCAGGGTATGTGGTCGGAAATGATGAAAAAAGAACATATCAATCTGTTAGAACAGAGAGCAGTTCACCTGACAATCAAACATTTTCAGACAGAGTTAACAGACAAACATGTGTTAGTACGCTCGGACAACAGTACAGTTGTTCATTATCTGAACAAGCAGGGGGGCACAAAATCTTCTCAGTTATGTCAAGAAACATGGGAAGTTTGGAATTTGGCACTAAGTCACAACATGTTAATTCAGGCGGCGCACTTGCCATCAGCAGAGAATGTATTAGCGGATCGCCTCAGCAGGGGGAAGGTTTTGTCAACCGAATGGTCTTTGAATCTGGAGGTAGTAGAACCGCAAGTGCCTAATATTTTGTGCATGGGTTTATCACCCGCTAGCTTTCGAAATAGATGCCCTGTCAATTTGTTGGGACAATCTGTTCGCGTATGCTTACCCTCCAATAAGCTTGATTCCATTAGTTCTTCGTCATATTCAGAAAATCAAATGCGAAATAATACTGATTGCTCCGTTTTGGCCGAGGCAGGTATGGTTTCCTCAGTTATTACAACTGTTAGTGGCTCCCCCATTGAGGTTACCGAATCTCGAGGTATTACTAGAGCAGGGAAATCCAAAATTGTACCACCCAAATCCACTACTGTTTCAATTGACTGCATGGAGATTGTCGACAGACGTTTTCAAACAACAGGATTTTCGGCTAACACTAGGAAATTGTTGGCAGCCTCATGGAGGTCTGGGACACAAAAAGGTTACAAGTCCAAATTCAGGAAATATGTATGCTGGTGTCGTGAACGGGAAATTGATCCCTATGTATCAAATTTAGGACACTGTGCAAATTTCTTGACACACTTGTTCGATGAGGATCTAAGTTATAGAACCATTGCTGGTTATCGATCCATGCTATCCACTGTGTTGCAACCAGTGGAGGGAATTCCAGTCGGTCAACACCCATATATTATCCGTTTACTAAGGGGAATTTTTAATTCAAGGCCACCAATTCGGAAACTTCTCCCAGAATGGGATTTACCCCGAGTTCTACGTATGTTGACGAGGTCGCCTTTTGAGCCCATGCGTAAATCTAAGTTAAAATATGTTACATGGAAGACAGTTTTCTTATTTGCTATAACTTCATTCAGGAGATGTGGCGACCTACAATCTCTTAGATTGGGAAAAGGAAATGTCAATATTCAAGCCCATGGAGTTACGTTTATTCGTCATGGTCTTTCAAAACAAGATCGAGCATCACACTTTAACCCAAAAATTTATATACCATCTTTTCCAGATAACAAGCTATTAGATCCGAAAAGAGCTACTTGTATGGCAATCTACTTAAAGATGACAGAACCTTTTCGAGAACAAAATGGAAGAGATCAAACTAAGATGTTTTTATGCGTAAATAAGCCACATTTACCAGTTTCGACACAGACAGTGTCTAGATGGATTGTAAATGTGATACGACAAGCCTATAAAGGAGATATAGTGCCAGCTGTGCGGGGACATTCTACTAGGGCATTGGGAGCTTCCTGGGCTCTATTCAAAGGTTCTTCCATGAAAAGTATCATGGAAAGTGCTGACTGGACCCAGGAAAATACATTTATAAAGTTTTATTTACAAGATGTAAATGTTGATTTCTTGCAAACCGAGTAATGGTTTGTGTTCATGAGGTGATGGTTTTTAGAAAGTCTGCTAAAGTCTAGTGGATATATATCAGAAATCCCGGCGAGTTTTTCAGGAGGTATGTAATTTTTTATACAACATTGAACTTGTGTTCGTTGTTATCACAAGATATATATATATATATAAATCAGAAAGTATTTGAGCTACACTGATCTGAATCCCACCTCCATTCATGTAATGCTTGGGGAATCTAGGAATAATTCATATGTACATATATCAGGTAGGATATTATGAAATAAAATTCAAAAATTTGACATAAGTTCAAATTTTATGAATAATATACCTACCTGATATATGTACGAACCCTCCCATCCTTCCCCTAATTGCAGAATCAGTTTCTCAAGGGCGATTTGTAAGCGCCTCGAATGAACTGACATGTGCATGGGATCATGTGATCTGGTGCGTGCGCATGTTTACTACTTCCGGTAGACTCGATTGGTCTAGTACCGGAAAGTGCGAGTTTTAGCGTAAGGAACGATAATTCATATGTACATATATCAGGTAGGTATATTATTCATAAAATTTGAACTTATGTCAAATTTTTGAAACATCTTTGTTACCAGAATTTACTCCTAGTTAGTCTTGATTAAAGATTGATGATCCCAGCCAAACGCACAAAAACCTAATTCCCCATTCTTTTCAAAATCTATAAATTGCATAATTGAGTAATATTTTCTTTCATAACTTAATTTAAAATTCAAGCCAGATAAACATCAGATGAGTGTAAAAATGTTGCTGAATAGTTTTAAGAAAAAGCCTCACAAATCGATAAAAAAAATTCTGTTTCTAATTTATCAATTAGAACAACTCAACGCAGGTGTGTCTCATGTTATGCAATCATTTAAGTTTAGTTAAATGGATGATAAACCATTTCTAAATAGTTTTCAATACCTATTACTTGTTTCAATATTTGATTTTACTATTTATTTTATCAGGAGTCATCCATCAATTCACCAAAGTGTGGTTGATGCTCACTGCTAAGCTATGTACTGGTGACTTTTTATATTTCAGTGCCGAGAAAAGCTAGAGTTGCGTCAGCAACTGATTTCTACAGATGTGAAGATTGATAAGGCTTTTTTTGTTGCCTGTAAGAAAGATATCAAAGACTATAAATGCATGGAAACTGCATCTGGTGACCCAGATTCAACTAGAGCTGATGTATTACTTTGTCTAGAATCGGCTATTAAAAATGGTAAGTTCTTATCTTCTATGAATTATTATTAATTTGCTGCTCAAAGTAATCAAGCTGTTGTATAATATTCATTAGTAGGGCAAAAACTTCAGTGCAAATAAATTGATTTAAGATAAGATCAATTGATCAATGATACTAAAAATTGAACGGAGCAAAAGACTGCTATTCAAATGAAAAAAAGTATGGTATGGTATGTGTCTTGCGTGTTAGACAAACTGTTAATTTTCTTTTAAAGATGATCATGTGACTGGAGAATGTGTCCGTGAAATGAAAGAAGTTCGTAGAAACATCATGGAAGATTTTAACATTATTCCTGAGATATTGTCTGGATGTGGTAATGAGATAAAGAAATATTGTTCTGAAACTGGAATAGGTGGAAATACCATACACTGTTTGATGGCTCTTGCTATACCTAATAGGATGAAAAATAAAACTGAGGAAAAAATATTAGGTTCTCAATGTAAAGCAGCTGTGAGTATTTTGAGCTACCATTCACTTCTTTGAGCCAGAATAGAAACTTTTCGCTTGTATTGTAAAATTGATTGTATCACATTCTTCAACATTGGGAAAACATCATTTTAGCTTACATGTATCTTAGGCTGTAGTATCTTCAAATTCTATTTTAACCAACAACAATTGTACAGTTATTTGCCATAACCCTGTGAATATGGATGAATGTGTATCACTAATGTGTTCTAACTTTTCAACACCAATCTTATTAAGACTTTGCACACTTGTTCCATGTGTAAAATAACCCAGAGGACACATAACAGTCCGACTGTTGTGTAATAATCGAGGTACAAAAGGAAAGAAAAAAAGTATTCATAGCTAACGAGAGGGTTTCCGCGACCTACATCTGTTCTTGAATAAATTATGACGTCATATACACCGTTCACGTCATCTGCTGTGAATAATCATGGCCGTGTCCAGCAGCAGTTTAACACTGGATCATTGACGTCTATCTAGATATGACGTCAGAAGGAATTCCCTGTAAGACATGATTATCCAGGTCTACCATCTATCGTGACTGAAACGTCATTTTGGTGCATCACTGAAAGATATATCTTTAAATTATATTTTAACCAGCACCATTGATACACTTACTTCCCTGTAACTGTTGTTAACGTCTGTCCATCAGTAATCTGGTTTTAATTTTTGGAAATAATAAGAACCCCAACAGAAGTAAATGAAATCCATAATTTATAAAAGTATCAGTTATAACTATGTAGAAAGTGTATTTTAGTAATTTTACGGATATTTGTTTTTAGTTGAACAACCTGTTGGAAGAGGTTGATGTTGGAAGTGATTATACTTTAGATAAAGTATTAATGAGAGCCTGCGAGTCTGTCGTAAATACTATTTGTTCTCATGTTAGTCACCAGGATAGCAGGTTAGTAATTAAACACATCAGATAAAGATCATATTTTATACGCTCAAATGTAAATGTGGACGTATATTGCCGTCGCCCCCGTTCGGCCGTCATCCACAATTTCTTGTGAACGCTCTGTTATGATCCGATTGTTTTAAAATTAATATATGTTGTTGACATTAGTAAGATGAAGAATCCTATTTAATTTCAATAATTTCCGTTTATTATGTCTAGAGTTATGGCCCTTGTTTCACTTTGTTGGACCTTGTGAACGCTGTAACGCCAAAAGTTATCCGATCTTTGTGAAATTTATATGCATTATTTAAATTAGTGAAACGAAGAAGCCTATTGAATTTCAGTAATTTCCGTTTATGGCCTTTGTTTTACTTTATTGAACCTTGTGAATGCTCGATTGATGAAAGTTATCATCCGATAATTTCCCTTAATTGCTTCTAGAGTTATGGCACTTGTTTCACTTTTTTGCACCTTGTGAACGCTCTAGCATCTAAAGTTATGTGCCGATCTGTATGAAATTTATGTGTGTCATTTAAATTAGTAAAAATTGTGAAATTTATATGCATTATTTAAATTAGTGAAACGAAGAAACCTATTGAATTTCAGTAATTTCCGTTTATTCCGTTTAGAGTTATGGCCTTTGTTTCACTTTATTGAACATTGTGAATGCTCGATTGATGAAAGTTATCATCCGATAATTTCCCTTAATTACTTCTAGAGTTATGGCTTTTGTTTCACTTTTTTTGCACCTTGTGAACGCTCTAGCATCTAAAGTTATGTGCCGACCTGTATGAAATTTATGTGTATCATTTAAATTAGTAAAAAGAAGAATCCAATTGAATTTCAGCAATTTCCATTTATTACTTCTAGAGTTATGGCCCTTGCTTCACTTTGTTGCACCTTGTGAACTCTTTAATATCAAAAGTTATCTGCCGATCTGTATGAAATTTATATGCGTCATTTAAATTAGTAAAAAGAAGAATCCTATTGAATTTCAGCAATTTCCGTTTATTATGTCTAGAGTTATGGCCCTTGTTTCACTTTGTTGAACCTTGTGAATGCTCGAACGCCAAAAGTTATAATCTGATCTGTATGAAATTTATATGCATCATTTAGATTAGTGAACCACAAAGCCAATTGAATTGCAGCAATTTACAATAATTACTTCTAAAGTTATGACCCATGTTTCACTTTGTTCAACCTTGTTAATGCTCGATTGATGAAAGTTATCATCCTATATGTATGAAATTTATATCCATCATTTAATTTTGTGAAATGGAGGTCTATTGAATTTCAGCAATTTCTGCCAATTATTTCTAGAGTTATGGCTCTTGTTTTACTTTATGAACGTTCGAATGACAAAAGTTATCATCCGATCTGTATGAAATTTATATGCATTATTCAAATTAGTAAAACTAAAAAGCCTGTCAAATTTCAAAATTTTCTGTAAATTACTTCCAGAGTTAAGGCCCTTGTTTCAGTTTGTAGAACCTAGTGAACCCTCAAACGACAAAAATTATAATCTGATCTGTATGAAATAGTCTTGTAAATGCCCCCAATTACATGTACCTACAAAAGAATAAATATGTGTCAACCCTTGTTGACAGCTTGGATGATTTAGCGGCTGTGGACGTATGTTTCGTTGCCTGGCAACCTATCTTTTGAAAATCTTTATTTCACATATTCCTGAGGTATTACAAACATCATCAACTCATTAACTATTGCTACACATCCTGTGGAACTATGGGTCTGTTTTTTTACGTTGACTCAAGGGGTAAACTAAACACATCTAGGAACCCTACTTTAAAATGGATAAACACATTTTCGGGTGTCTTCTCCAAAACCACTTGATTGATTTCATCAAAATTTAATAGTTATTTATCCGATGGTGTTCATTCAAAGAGTTGATCAGCCTCACTAGCAGGGCAGGGCAGGGCAGATTTTTAAAATATTTTTGAGCTTTCCATTAATTTTGGTAGGTATGCTTTTGTTACTTATAATGAATTGGTTGGTGAAGTGCGAAGCAGTCCTTTACAGTGACCTAAGTATATTCATATCATTTGATTTTTTTTCAGCATTATGAATTGTTTAATGGATAATTTAGATCACGATGATATGTCAGATGTTTGTGAAGAGAGATTATTAGAAATACAGTATTTTATTGTTCGAGACTTCAGGTAAGTAGGACTTGGGTGAATATATACATGGTTCTAATTTACCTTAGATTGGTGTAGGAATTATTAGTCAAATTGGTAGATAAAACATATCTGTGATAAAATATATACATCCATATACATCTACAAGTGTAAATTAATTGACTTTTTTCAAATTATGGAGATGATGTAAATATATATTAAGATTTACTGTATTATGTTTTATTGATTTATTAAATCAGAATTTCATTTGATTTGACAGCTGTTGTCATGTACATATATTTTTTGTTCTTTCCACAATAATTCAATCTTACAACATGTTGCACATGAATAATACAATTATCATATAAAATCTAATATTGTTTCGTTTCTGTTCCCTCAATGTTCATACTAAACAACACTAAGCAATTCTACTTGGTTTTTATACGCCCATTGTCATCGCCCCTGTCCGTCCGTCTGTCCATCCATCCGTCCACGATATGTTTGTGGACACTCTACAGGTCACAATTTTTATCTGATTTTGACAAAAGTTGATCTCGGTTCCTTTCGATATTAGAATGTATCGGACCATAACTTCATGGATTATGGCATCTGATTGTAAGAAAAATCACGTTTTTAGCTTGTGGACACATTAGAGGTCACAATTTTGATCGGATTTTGATAAAACTTGAAAGGCATGTTTATAACCCAAAGATCTTGGTTCCTTTCGATATTCAGGCATATCAAATTGTAACTTCCTGATTTATGGCCCCTGGTTGTACTAAAAATTGCGTTTTTAGCTTGTGGTCCCTCTAGAGGTCACAATTTTTATCCGATTTAAAAAAGCGTTTTAGTATATCACCGTTACACCCTAATGATGGTTGAGTTCGAGCTTCCTGAAAATCAGACCAAAACTACCGGACAAAATGGCCGCCCCTTGTACACAAATAGTGTAAAATATGGTATATCAAGGTTGTGGAACCTCTAGAGGTCACAATTTCCATCCGATTTTGATGAAACGTGGAATGCATGTTTATATCCCAAAGATCTTGGTTCCTTTTGATATTTGATATTTGCGCATATTGGATTGTAACTTCCTGAATTGTACGAAAAATTATGCTTTTAGCTTGTGGTTCCTCTAGAGGTCAGAATTTTTATCCGATTTAGAAAAACGTAGTATATCACCATTGCACGCTAATAATGCTGGAATTCGAATTTCGTGAAAATCAGACAAAATGGTCGCCCCATGTACACAAATAGTGTGAACATCTGGTATATCAAGATTGTGGACTTCCTAGAGGTTACAATCTGGATCAGATTTTGATGAAACTTGAAATGCATGTTTATAACTCAAAGATCTTGATTCCTTTCGATATTCGCGCAGATCGAATCGTAACTTCCAGAAATATGGCCCTTGATTGTACAAAAAATCGTGTTTTGAGCTTGTGGTCCCTATGGAGGTCACAATTTTTATCCGATTTAAAAAGATAATGTGTGATTATATCACAGTTATACACTAATGATGGTTGAGTTCGAATTTCATGATAATCGGACAAAAACTGACGGACATAATGGCCGCCCCTTGTATAACCGATTTGGATGAAATTTTAAATATATGTTTTTATCATAAAGATCTTGGTTCTTTTTGATAATCACACATATCCGAACGTAACTTCCACGATTATGGCCCCTGATTGGTTGAAAAATTGCATTTTAAGCTTGTGGATTCTCTAGAGGTCACAATTTTTTTTCCGATATACCACCATAATGAAGGTTGAATTGGAATTTCGGGGCAAAATTGAAATGAAACTGTGCGACAAAATGGCCGCTCTTTGTACGTAAATTGTCTATAAGTATGCAATACAAAGGTTATGGACCCTCTTAAGAGGTCACAGTTTTTATCCAATTTTGATGAAACATAAAACATGTTTTTACATTCCAATAATCTCAGTCCCTTTTGATATTTGCGCATTTCAGACCATAACTTTCTTGATTATGGTCCTGATTGTACAAAAAATCAATTTTGTTTTTAGCTTGTTCTCTATCCATCTCTTGGAAAATGTGGACATATCCTACCTGGCAGCTGCTGGTTATTTTCCACTGGAATCTATAGTTTCAATGAGAAACATGTAGTTTATTTTATTTGTATCTAATGACATCAAGGCCAAGATATTATTTTACGCATGCTACAATACAAGAACATAATTTACCAAAATACACTCAAAGCCATTAAAAACGCAATGCCAAATTCAAAGTTTATTTACTGCAACAACTTTTAACAAGTGTACATAGCAATTGAAATTGACAAAATCGAGATAACAAGCATCTGTGGATAATTTCATGAAATAATTCACTACACAAATGCACAAAACCAAAACGTCAAAGAACCATGAAACAAAGCAGGGGTCAGCTTAAGTCAATATGAGGTATGGTCCACCCTGAGCTCTTACACTTACACATGCCTGAAATGGCCTTGGCATTGACTGGCACAAATGTCTCACTACACGCTGTGGGATTGTTTCCCAATGATTTTGGAGTGCCTGTGCCAACTCTGCAACAGTTCGTGGTGGCACGGCTTGAGTTTGAACCTGCTGTCCAAGTTCACCCCAAAGGTGTTCGACCGGGTTCATGTTGGGAGACATAGTGGGCCAATCCATAACACGGACATGATGATTGTTCAGAAAGTCTCTTGTGAAGCTGGCAGGGTGGGGTCGGGCGTTGTCATGCTGGAAAACCATCTGTCGACAGTTGAGCCATCAATGGAAACACCACCAGACGAAGGATGGCGTCAACATAATGTTGAGCGTTGAGATTGCCTTGGACCACCACCAACTGGGACCGGACGTTGACGTTGATAGCGGCCCAAACCATGAAGCCACCTTCCCTCGAAACGATCCCTTTCCAGCACGCAGTTACGAGCAAAGTGTTCATGTCGACGTTGTTATATACGGTGATGTCCATCAGGAAAACTCAGGTTGAATCGGGATTCATCCGAGAAGATGACATTTCGCCATGATGTGTTGTGCAGATACCCCTGATTTGCACCCCATTGCTGTCTGGCAAGTCGATGCTGATGCAAAATGATTTGACCTTGGTAAGGTCAACGGCATCGTAACCCAAGAGCATCCAGGCGTCTTCAGACTGTTTGAAGGCTGATCTGACATTGCCGTGTTCCAACAGTTTCCCTGGCAGTAGCAGACTGGAACCTGTAGTCGGATGTGGCGATCTTGAACAACGGTTGTTACAGGTGGCGCTCCAGGTCGGGGTCGATCAGCAACTCTTCTATTGGCGTGGAAGCATTGTTTGAGGCGAGCAATCGTTGGTAGGTGGACATTAAAGTGTCTGGCGACAGTTACCTGTGAAGCCCCATGATCCAGCATGCCACTAGCTCTGCTCCTGTTTTCTTGTGTAAGGCGTGGCATTTTTCCCAAGTGATGAATGTTGAAATTTTGATCTGTATTTAAAGAGCCAGAGTGCAGCGAATGCACATGCAGAACGAGTGACATGGGACTGCTTAAAATCGTGAAAAAAGTTCATTACCGAGAACTGATATTGGGTTCAAACCCAGAACTCCACAAAAAGAGACCCATCACAAGTTTCACATACATGTATGTGCCATAAGATAGGAAAGCCCAAGAAAACGTTTACTAGAAATATTTCATGAATTAGGCATTGCGTTGGCTTTGAGTGTATTATCTTGAACAACTGCCCAGTTAACCCATGAAACAAAATAACTTAATAAAAATTCTTCAACCATCAATAATTCTAATTATTAATAAAACATTATGAGTCCATGGACACATTGGCCCAACTGGCTAATGTCGTAGCCAATTTGTTCAACTCTCATCTTTTAACTTATTATAACATTTTATACATTTCCTCAAACAAATTTATGTCAACCAAATATGATTGAGTGCCACTTGATACCCATGGATGTTTGAAAATTAACTTATACCCTGTAAAATACAGGGTAGTATTATTTTAAACTTTTATATTTTATATCAAACAAATGCCTTGTTTATTTTGAAGTTATAAAGAGTTAGATTAAAATGTCAGAATTTTGTAATAAACGTTGCTTTTCATGTGCTTCTCAGGAATGTATTCAAAATATACTGGGAATATATTGAGAAATGCTGATTGTATCCTCCCCTAGCTTAGCTTTTCTACTTTGTCTAATTCTGTCATTTTATTGGATAATACTGCAGATGTATTAATTAATTAATTAAATAATTAATGTTTACAGTTTCTTAACTACTATTCGTACTTCTGTAGAAACATTTAGAATTATTTAATAACTGGATTTTTTGGGGCAAACCAGGACAAAAAATACTTGACAGAATTGGTTCAATATGGTGACTGATATACTATATTTGGTGCAAATTGTATTGGCTTAAATGTAGTTGTTCTCTATAAATAATCTTGATGTTTACCTGTGGGCATTGAACAAAATTAAAATAGATAAAAACTTACGTATAATGTTCAGTTATTCAAACTTCCGTTTTTTTATCCCAAAGACTGCCTTTTTATATCGCGATTTGATTGTACGACCATGGATTTTAATCACTCTTTTATTTTAATAACACGATCAAGGAGAATTTATTTCAATTCAAAGCAATCATTTTTCTTGGATTTACAGATTCGATAACCATTTGTACAGAGCATGTAAAGCAGACGCAAAGAACTTATGCAATGCCCACTTTAACTGGTATAGTCCTAAAAATGATAAACCTGATAATGGTGCCCTTGTTTTGCCTTGTTTATACCAACATATGAAACATCCTAAACATAGCAAGCCGTCGCAGGTACACAATTGCTGGATTATTTTGAAAATAAGCTCAATATCATAACAATTTTTGCATAATTCTTTGCCATAATTTGTTTTAAACAAATCTTATGGAGTTTTTTTTATTAATCACCACCCTAAGATAGTATTCATTTTGTTTATTTTACGATATAGTATGGTGCATATTCCTGAATTAGATGCATTTTGCCTCAATTTATTTTAAATTTATTTAGAATATAGATATTTTCCCTTTAACCTTTGTGAACATTGTTTTTGATATTGAGTTTGTATTTAAACATACTCATTTTGTTAATAATGTAAGGATGCTTGGTTGACAACAGATGGTTGTGTTAGGATATCTGTTACAACACTTATGTAACATGAGCTGTACAGATACCTTATCACAATCAACTTGGGATTATTCAAAAAATGTTGCTTCATATCAAAAGCTTAATTATTCAGTTATTGAATGAAACAATTCAAGCTCAAAATATATATTAAAGCTTCTGATCGTCATTTGATATTTCTTGCCAAATTAAAAATTTCATAGATTAATCTGTCCGAAAATGTTCTTAGATTGATTATTAAAACATAAGCATAACATCTCTCCTGTTTTGGTTTCAATCAGATTAAACATAACACTGTCAGTGTCAAAAGGTTTTAGCAAATCCTATAAGTAATGCTGGCTTTCTTTGAACATATCCTATTTATATGATCTGCAGAGTACTGGTATGCTCAATGTTGACAAATTTTTCAATTCATCTTATATGTAAATACTGAACCAAATTGAACAGTTTTTAAACTGATATTAATTTTAGAGATTTACCTTTCACAATATTATGGTTTGCAAGGGATTCAAATTCAAAATCTGCCCAAATGACGATCAGGGACTTTTAAGCTGTGTTATATTTCTGCGATTGATATTATACCATCTTTTCTTGATCTTTATTATAAGATGTATAGCTATTTTTTTACAACATCCACAGAATGTACATTTAGATTATGAAATCTTTAACAGGTATCTTATGTCTTGAAATAGTACATTTATCATTTTCAAAAACTATATAAAAATGTACATGTTTATTATGCCAGTTATCTGTAGTATTAATAGTGTCTATACAAGTATATACTTTAAAATGGATGTTGTTTTTAAAAATGTTTATATCTAGGATAGATTAACAGAAAATGCTTTTGATAGTAACAATGTTGATTAATCCCAACAACTAAATCCTATTAATATTAGAATTGTAATTTTTGAAACTTTTGAATTTTTAAGACTTGATCATATGCTGTATAAGAAATGTCGAAAGTTTGCAAAGAATCTGTGCCACACAACTGGTAAATGGTGGGTCAAATCGGACAAACATCTGGGACTATCCCATGTCTATATTTTGTCCTGTTTATATCGACACATGAAACAAAGAAGAAAGCAGGTTTGAATGTTACCTCAAGACAGTAGACTGACATTTCTGACCTTTTATGTTGGGTTTATTGGGAATGTTTTAGTGAAATGTTACCATGTATCACATTTATTTTTCACCTTCCCTGTCAAACTCCTTGATAGATAATAGATTATTCCTTTATTTAATAATTTTATAAAAATGATAATAAGGAAAATCACTTTATAACTTTACCCAATTTAGCAGTAGCACATGTAGGTGTAAAGGTAATTTTATACGCCCTCATTGTTATGTGGACGTATATTGTTGTCGCTCCTGTCCGTCTGGACGTCTGGATGTCCGTCCACCTGCCCACAATCTGTTTGTAGACACTCTACAGCAATCAGTTTCACAGAGGATTACGAAAGTCTTTAAATATCTCTGTAAAAGATGACTGTCTTCAATGCGTGCATTGTTTACATAAGACGTTGGTGATTCGGGCAGAATGGTGCCTTTTATTCATTTTAATACCCATTTACACTAAATAGGACATAATTTTTACCTACAAATACTTCAAACGTCGTTATTTATTTTTCGAGGGCATAAAAAAATGTTTTAGAATTTAATTTGTCGGAGGAAAAATGTTAATATAGTCGCATCGATGTCATCCTTATCAGTAATTGTAGCTGCCTAGCAAATATTCACTACTGATCAGTGTGACTCTACAGCTCACCATTTTGACAAACTTGAAATGAAATATAGATCTATCTCCCAAAGATCTTGGTTCCTTTTGAAATTGACATGTATCAGACCATAACTAACTTCATGGATTATGGCCCCTGATAGTACGAAAAATCACATTTTTAGCTTGTGGACACTCTAGAGGTCACAATTTTTATCTGATTTTGATGTATATTTATGACCCAAAGATCTTGGTTCCTTTCGATAATCGCTTATATTGAATTGTATCTACCTGGATTATGGCCCCTGATTGTAATGAAAATCACAATTTTAGCTTGTAGTCACTCTACAGGTCACAATTTTTATCCAATTTTAAAAATATGTTCGCATATATTACTGTTACACCATAATGATGGTTGAGTACAAATTTCCTGAAAATTGGACCGAATTTGCCAGACAAAATAGCCGCTCCTCATGCAAAAAGTGTAAAAGTATGGTACATGTATATCAAGGTTGTGGATGCTCTAGAGGCCACAATTTGCATGGCAACTGCTTGTTCTTTTAATGCACCTAAATCTAATTGTGGATATGTTGTTGTTACTCTTGTCTGTTGTTCAGTGCCCACAATTTTATGCTAAAGTTATCACCCAGTTGGCTAGAAATTCTAATGCAGTATGAGAAGAAGTAGCTTTTGATTTTAAAAAAATCCTGATATTTACTTATAGAGTTCTTGCGGTCTTTGATCGCTTAAATATTATCATCCAAATGATTTAAAGATATGTTATGGGAGATTAGATAATGAGCTGGCAGTTCTCACTATAATAGGTAAAAACCAGATAATGTAAAAGCAATTTGCTGAAAATTTCAGTCAAATTCATCCACTATGAACTGAGAATTGAAATTTTGGTCTAGCCTCGATCATCATTACTAAAGTCAGTACGATAAAAAACATAGTCTCGATTATCCATTTCATGATTAAATCATGAATGAAAGTTGAGCAGCAAATGGGATCATAATCCAGTAAATATCACAGGCTAGCGATGACATCCAGAGTTGATTATGGTCTGGATAAGTTAATTAATGTCTAATTAATAATTTAGATAACATTTCAGGCCTAAAGAAAGACCTGCAATAGGCAGATTTAGCTCTTGCATAATGTATGTTTTAAGATTCATTTGCGGTGTTTATATTCATGAAATTATGAATAATTTCCTATAATTACTTGTCGAGTTAGTGTCCTTAAAAAAATTTTTTCGGACCTCAAGGAGCTGGAGTTTGTCTGACTTGAATTAGACGACACTTTTGTTTCTATTTTTCTATTGTTTTTATTAACACTACAGTAAGGTCTAACACCATCTTGAAGTGTGTGTGTTCAACTGACCTGATTTGAATACCTTATTTATGTTATATTTAGGAAGAAGCCTATCAAATACTAAGAATTTCTATAAATTATGTGTGGTTTATTGCCCATAATAGGTTTTTTACTTGTGCTCTAGTTAACTATAAAACAACTGTTCATCTGATTTAGCTGCTGGCAACCTATTTTTTTTTTTTACAAAAGCCAATCTTTTTTAGTATATTTCTTATACATTTTCTAAATTGTTCTCAGTCAAAGTTTATTCCCAAGACATTTTCTTGTTGCCATATTATTCTGGTAGCAAGGTATCACAGCAGTCTGACAATCTATATTACTAATTTGGTTTATTTAGATATTGATTTTAATACCTTCTCAAGGACAACAGGTAAAGTGTAAATTATCTTAATATATTCCATTATTCTATTTTTTCAGCATATATTTAAAAAATATAATTTGTTTAATATTTTTTACAGATTTCCCGTGGCTGTAAACATGAAATACGAAGAGTATTAAGACAGAGAGCTAAGAGTGTTGATTTAGAACCAGAAATTCAAGAAAAATGTGTGATAGATTTATCTGTACATTGCTCTGAAGGTGACGATATGAAACTAGGAGAGGTACCTCAATTATTATTAAATAATCTAACAATCGATTAGAGAATTCACCAAAAGTACATTGCTAGAAAATAGCAGTGTTCTTCCAAATTTGTAAATAATCTGTTAGTGCAGAATGGTTTACTTTTCATTTTTTTTTCAGGTTTTTGGAAAAAAGGGGGGGGGGGACTCGATAGTTACGCTAAATATCCATAGGGTTCGTCCTTTTAAGACCCTAAAGCTTCACAACAAGTTTGAAAACATCCAACAAAAATGGTAGCCTCTGTCGTCGTAACAAGATATTCAGAAAAGGGTGGGGTAACTTTGAAATGAAAATCAATATCTGAAAATCTATAAGGTGAATCCTTTTATGGCCCAATTTGGAATCTGATAAAAGCTGTAACCTCTATTTTATTTGAATAAGTCAATTATTGACCGACACATATGGATGTGGGCATAAAGAATTAGAAATAGAATTGTTGCCAAAACAAGTAGTCATTTAAATACATGTTTATAATATGTCATGATTTGGAAGAAACCTATTTATTTTTAAAGAATTTTATGTGATCACTTTAAGAATTACTACATTTTGTTAGCAATTTCTTGGTTTGTCTAGCTATTGAAACATTAAGCAAGTTTGATTTTCTTATTCACTTGTTGGTTTACTTCTCATAGATAGTTATTGTGCACCAACATTTTCATGTGGACGTATATTGTCAAAGCCCCTGATTGTACGAAAAATCACGTTTTTAGCTTGTGGACACACGAGAGGTCACAATTTTTATCCGATTTTGATGAAACTTGAAATGTATGTTTATAACCCAAAGATCTTGGTTCCTTTCGATATTTGCGCATATCTTACCGTAACTTCCTGGATTATGGCCCCTGATTACATGAAAAATCATGTTTTACCTTTACCTTGTGGTCCCTAGTCACAATATTTATCTCATTTATTTTTGTTTAACTTGTTCTCTGTCCATCTCTTGCAAAATGTGGGTGTATCTTGCCTTTAAACGGCTGATTTTCTTCTGATTGACTACAGAACGTGTAAACAATTACAGACTATTTTAAGGCTTGGATGTGTACGATATGTGTCCTGGCAACCCATATTTTGTTTGTTATTTTGTTATTCACCCACATTGCAATGTTGTCGTATATTGTCGTCGCCCCTGTCCGCCTGTCGCTTGGTCGGTCCACAAGAAATATTTTGTGGACGTTCTAGAGGCTAAAGTTTATATCTGATTGACTTTAAACTTATACACTGTGTTTACGGTCATGAGACGAAGAATCCTATTGATTTTCAACGATTTGTGATTATCACTGCCAGAGTTATGGCCCTTGATAACTTTGAAATATCTTGTGGAATCTAGATGCTAAAGTTAATATCTGATTGACTTTAAATTTATATACACTGTTTAAGGTCATGAAACAAAGAAGCCTATTGATTTTCAACGATTTCCTATAATTACTGCCAGAGTTATGGTCTATCAATTTTGAACGATTTCTGATGGTTATGGCAATTGATATTAAATGTTTTGTATAGGCAGAACTAGAAACCAAATGGGTTGTTAATGGTAATCAGATTTTAGTTTTTTGTAAATGTTTTCATTTCTGACGGAAAAAAAAAATATGCGACAACCCTTGTTGACTACCTGGATGACTTATCTGCTGTGGGCGTATGTTTCTTTGCCTGGCAACCTATCTTTTTTTAATTAGGAGATAAATTGTTTACAAGATAATTATGATATGTTACGACCTGAATGTAAAGAAGCTATTGGTAATTTTACTGAAGACGAAGATGAAGATTATCAGATGGATGCCTTGATCATGAAATCATGTACGCCAATGATTAAAATGTTTTGTGCTGTAAGTATAAATTATCAGGCTAGTTCCTTTACATCCACATAATGAAATTTTTTGAGCAAATATTGACTGAATTATCTATCCACACATTAACATTTTGAAGCTTGTGAACGCAATACGGGATAAATTTCGCAATCCTTGTCCTATATAATAATAATATTGAATTGTAATATAAGTGTTTTTTTAATAATAGGATCTATTAGAAAGTGATTCTGAGCCTACAGAAGTATTAGAATGTTTAATAGAACATAAAAATCATCAGTCTATGAATTCTAAATGTGCCGCTGGTATTGAACATCATCAGTTGGTAAATATTAATTTATTTTTTTTATGTGCCTATATGTGACCCATGAGTCGTAAGTCACACAAGTAGATTTCTAATTATACGCTAATTTGCTGACATTTGATAATAAACTTCTGTTTCCGGTTGATTGTGATGCGCATGTGAAAAGATAACTTCTGTTGCCAGGGACGCTAGCTGTTACTTGTTTATGGATACAAAGCGGAATGTGGATGGTAATTGATGAATCGTGATATGAGACAGTTAAGATATTTGATAATAAGAAAATAAATATTAGTAGCAGAGCGTTAATAATGGTGAACTATAAATTCCTGCCGCAATTTGGTGAAAAAATGTTGTATGATATGTGGAAAAATGAACTGAATATTTAGCAATTATTAGCAGATTTACCAAAAGAAAAACAAGTGTTAGCGGTGACGCTTTGGCTGATGGGGATGGCCCGGGAAATTGCCATTGAAATTAAATCCGAAGACCTAAACAAATATAATGGTATGAAAGTTTTGACTGATGCCCTAGATAAAGTATTTCAACAGGAAACTAGGGAATCTATTTACGAAGCCTACACAAATTTTGAAGTGCTTAGAAAAACTGTTGAGATGACAAGGACTAATTTTATAATAGAATTTGAACAGCCCAGGGTTCTTAATCCATTTGCAAACGGACCGGACAGAATTGGATCAAATGAGGTCCTGGTAGGAAATCAGTTAATTATAAGCTTCCATTCCCATTAATATAACGAGAATTCCACAAAAATAATTCTTGGTAATTTGTTATGGAGAATGTTGTATTCTGATGTATGTGATTACCACAAAATTAACGACAATTAGGTACACCATTTGAAAATTTTCCATATTTAATTCATGTACCAGCTTTCAAGCTCACGTTAGTAATACTGAATAGATTACTATCTTTGTTTATTCGATGAAACATTCGTGTTTCATCAGTCGATGATCAAAAATATTAGCATTTTTCTACTATTGCCAGTATCAGAAAATGCTGCAGCCAAAATAAATTGATATGGCACTATGGCATTTCTTCATAACACAATTTGTAGTTTTTTGTCTATCACGTAACTTGCAAAAGTTTTTATTCATTCCTCGATGATAGACGAGCGGCACACTTGTCACATGACAACCATAATTGAAATTGCTTTAAAATAAAATTCTGTACAATTATGATATAGCCTTCAATAAAAACGACAATATTTTTGAAATTATGCCTTTGTCGGATTGTGTATATAATAAAAAAAATCATAACGGTAAACACTATTTAAAACTGGTTTATTGACTTAGTTCCAACCGATATGTCACATGTAATTGGAAGTCAGCATTGGAGATTCTATCGGGAAAATATATTATTAATAACTGTTTCTCGGTGTATTCAGTTTTCTATCAGGGGATTATACTCAATGAAGATATACATTTACCTAACAACTGGTCAGTGAATCCATCAATGTATGATCCAGTTATTATTTTAATATCTACTGGTACCTGGAATTCATACGGAGAGTGGAAGGTGCTCGATTAGCAAACCATGCCGAGATCGTCTTCTTTCACCACGTGGGCTATTTTTACAAAAGCAGCTTATTGAACCTGTTATGAATAATCAGCAAGCTTGTTTTATCCAAATTACCGTTAAATGTGCTAATTAGGCTACTCAGATTATGAACCACATGGCCGATTCTCACTAAAGTATGACTTGTTGTAGCAGACAAGCATGTTGATTGACTTCTTAATTAACATGTTTATAATTAACCTGATGTAATTTATCCAAAAGTAGATTGATTTTTGATACCATAGTGGCTGGTTCATTGTTTTACCAGTTGGCTAGACATCAGTCGGCTAAAGCCGACAAAAAACAGCCGATTAAGAACACTGATTCAATCTAAGGAGCATTTGGGGAAAGTTGAGTCGGGCATTGAACTTAATGTGGGTTGGAAAATTAATGGTGGTCTGCATCCACTTCATTTACAAGACTTTTCTACCTTGCATTGCTGTCAGTCTTTTTTGAAAGATTTATCATTTACTATCTCTCGTATGTTCGTTGAATTAGTTTCAAAACAACCAAGGTTATGTTATTGAAACAAATAATGCTAGTAGATGATAATTTCATTTTCGACCGCCTATTCCAATTATTTCCAAGCCGTTAATGCGGATGTTTCACTCATAAACAAATCTGTCGGCACATAAAACGTCAAATTCGAAATTTTGAAATACCCTAAATTTGACCCTGATCTAGGCTGTCCAGAAATGCATTCATTTCGGACACAAATTCAACAAACTACGTCCTTTTGTGTTTGGAAATTTTAATCCTTAATTTCTTCAAGGGGAGATAAGTTAGATAATTTCTAACGAAATTGTTTAAGTTAGATCCGCTAGGTATACTTTCATGCCAAGTTTCATGAAAATCGTGATAATATTAAAGAAGTTGGATTTCACTTCCAGGATGTTATGTCAATGACATAATTTTCGGAATTCCATAATCAGAAGTTTTAAGGTACTCCAAGAAAAAAGAATTAGTAAAATAAAATTAAAGAATCCCGGTTCAACAGAATACACAACAGACTTGTAGAAGTAGAAGATTGTTTAATGGGTCGACGTTTCGGGTGCAATACCCTTATCAAGATTAAATTATGATGATCGTGTGACACCATATATACAATAATATTGATGACGTCACAGGATTTTTAAATTTATTTATGTACAGTATAAAGATTGTTACAAAAAAAAAAAAAAGAAAGAAAGGATCGTTAAATTTAATTAAAGGATAAGATTACATGTATGTACAAATTTGATTAAATTGCTAAAATGATTAGAAAAAATTGTTTAAAATGATAAAAAAGAAGAGTTAATTACTAAGAATGTTTAAAGATTGATGATAATTATGGAGCGATTTAAAGTGAATAGTAGATAATGGTCTCCAGGATGGCTGAGGCGGTGGTTGTTTCATCTTCTTCTGTATTGATGGGATAAGTTGATACGTATAGTCTCGGTCATCCGGAACCTCCTAGTCTTCAAACGTGCAGAGGAGGAATAAAAGACTAGAATACGTAAGGAGTTTGCTACAATCGGACTGGAGGTTGCATGGTTAGCGGAGTATAGAGTTAAAAAGAGTAATTACGTAGCTTGGTGGTTCAATTCTTTTGGATCGTGAAATTGGTGATAATGATGAGTGGTGGATCGTATTCAGGTTAAATAGAAGGGTTGTTGGTCACCTCTATGAAATATAGTTTCTGTGGTTAGAGGGCCACGGGAGAATGATATACTAAGTAAAGATAAGGTAGTTGAGGCTTAAAGGCGAGGTTGTACGAAAAACAGTTTATCTAGAATCTAGCGTATAAAATGAATGCTGTAGAATTAGGGTGTCGATTAGGTTTAAGTAGATATTCCTCGATCTGGTATGTATTGGTGATATTTATTCTTCTTAGGGAGGAAAATATGTTTTCTAAATAAAATCCAAGTGTGTGTTAATTTATCTTCCTTCCAATAATTGGCGAGGATTCTAGTTAGTACTTTTCAGAATTCTTGATGTGCGGCTTTCCAGAGTATAAGTTATTTGGAGGGAAAAGTCGGAGTAAATTTATTCTGGCTTAATCTATAGGTAAAAAGCGATAAGCGATGCATAGATCTAAAAGTAGATGTGTTGTTGGCATATAAAGAGACCAGTGCGAATCTTGCGGGAAGTTTAGAGATACGGGATAGCGTTTACTGGAAAACGCTTGTTGTTGAAGTATGTGGCAGAGACAAACATATCTGGTTCATCAACAGTTTTACTTTATATGCCAACAACACATCTACTTTTTAGATCTATGCATTGCTTATCGCTTTTTACCTACTTTTCCCTCCAAACAACTTATACTCTGGAAAGCCGCACATCAAGAATATAGACATTATATATAGCAAGCACTGATCAAAGCGATGAGTATAAAGCCCTAAGTCGTACAGTAAACCGAAGCCATGATTAATTACATATCTAAAGAACTAGAAGTAAGCGTTAATTAGTGATCAGTATTAGTCAATGATACAAAATGGTGTTAAACAATCAATGAGGTGTGCTATACTGTATATAAATACTTGATGTTTTACATATATGTTATCATTAATTTGCTTGATAAAGACGATAGTATCATCGTTGAAACGTTGCATGTTAATAAACCAGTAATTGTTATTCCATAAACTTTAACCAAAACAATAATCTTAACACCACCCATTTTTATACGCCCACATTGAAATGTGTTTGTATATTGTCGTCGCCCCCGTCCGTCGGTCCGGCGTCCACAATTGCTTGTGGACGCTCTAGAGGCTAAAGTTAATATCCGATTAACTTTAAATTTATACACAGTGTTTAAGGTCATGAGACAAAGAAGACTATTGATTTTCAGCGGTTTCTGATAAATACTGCCAGAGTTATGGCCCTTGATCACTTCAAAATATCTTGTGGACGCTCTAGAGGCCAAAGTTAATATCCGATTGACTTTAAATTTATACACTGTGTTTAAGGTCATGAGACGAAGAAGCCTATTGATTTTCAGCGATTTCCGATAATTACTGCCAGAGTTATGGCCCTTGATCACTTCAAAAAATCTTGTGGATGCTCTAGAGGCCAAAGTTAATATCCGATTGACTTTAAATTTATACACAGTGTTTAAGGTCATGAGACGAAGAAGCCTATTGATTTTCAGCAATTTCTGATAATTACTGCCAGAGTTATGGCCCTTGTTCACTTCAAAATCTCTTGTGGATGCTCTAGAGGCCAAAGTTAATATCCGATTGACTTTAAATTTATACACTGTGTTTAAGGTCATGAGACGAAGAAGCCTATTGATTTTCAGCGATTTCCGATAATTACTGCCAGAGTTATGACCCTTGATCACTTTGAAAAATCTTGTGGACGCTCTAGAGGCTAAAGTTAATATCCGATTGAGTTTAAATTTATACACAGTGTTTAAGGTCATGAGACGAAGAAGCCTATTGATTTTCAGCAATTTCTGATAATTACTGCCAGAGTTATGGCCCTTGTTCACTTCAAAATATCTTGTGGATGCTCTAGAGGCCAAAGTTAATATCCGATTGACTTTAAATTTATACACTGTGTTTAAGGTCATGAGACGAAGAAGCCTATTGATTTTCAGCGATTTCCGATAATTACTGCCAGAGTTATGACCCTTGATCACTTTGAAAAATCTTGTGGACGCTCTAGAGGCTAAAGTTAATATCCGATTGAGTTTAAATTTATACACAGTGTTTAGGTCATGAGACGAAGAAGTTTATTCATTTACAGCGATTTTCGATAATTACTGCCAGAGTTATGGCCCTTGATCACTTCAAAAAATCTTTTAAATGCTCTAGAGGCTAAAGTTAATATCCGATTGACTTTAAATTGATACAGAGTGTTTGAGGTCATGAGATGATGAATCGTATTGATTTTCAACGATTTCCGATAATTACTGCCAAAGTTATGGCCCTTGATCACTTTTAAAAACCTTGTGACCCTATAGAAGCTAAAGTTATCATCCGATTGACTTCAGATTCATTCACAGAGTGTAAGGACTTGAGACAAACAAGTATATTGATTTTCAATGAATTTTTATGACTTGAACAGCTAAATCCATGATGTTAAAAGTTTCCTATACTAAACGTTAGCATGGGGCAAAACTTTATAAAAACCAAACAAATTCTAATGGTTTTCTGATAATTACTTAATGAGTTGTTAGTCTAAATCAGATTTTAATGTATTATAAATGTTTCATTACCGAAAAAAGTAAAAATATGTCACAACTCTTGTTGACTGCCCGGACGAGTTAGCTGCTGTGGGCGTATGTTTCGTTGCCTGGCAACCTATCTTTGGGGGTTAGTTCAAAGTTTCAGAAATATCCCATGGTTAGATTCTGAGATATAAGGTTTATGGGAAAATAACAAAACAAAACAAAAACATAATGATAATCTTAAGAGAAATAATAATAATCTTTGTAATAACACTGGTCTTTCATCATCTCATGGGAAAGCCTAATAAGCTTACTGGTAGAAATTGTATATTTATAGTATCACATGTCACTGATTTAGAGCTTAGACAATGAATGTTTTTGTATAACAGTCCATGAAATGTAAATATTATAACATATCTTTCTTTATTTTCTTTTTAGATCTCACTCAAAGAATTCCGATTTAATCATAAATTTAAAGAATTATGTCAGGCGGCAGTAACTAAATTATGCAAGAATAAAAAAACTAAGTAAGTTAGTTTAATCTGATTAAAATCAAATGTCCATTTTGTTTCATTTTAATTTATTCATGTTGTACTACATGGACATCTGACATTTTTATACGGCCACATTTTCATGTGGACGTATATTGTTGTCGCCCCTGTCCGTCTGGCCACAATTTGTTTGTGGACACTCTACAGGTCACAATTTTGATCCCATTTTGACGAAACTTGAAATATAGGTCTTATCTCCCAAAGATCTTGGTTCCTTTTGATATTGGCATGTATCGGACCATAACTTCTTGGATTATAGTCCCTGATTGTTTGAAAAATCACGTTTTTAGCTTGTGGACACTCTAGAGGTAACAATTATCATCTAATTTTTATGAAACTTGAAATGCAAGTTTATAACCCAAAGATCTTGGTTCATTTTGATATTTGTGCATATTAGATCGTAATTTCCTGAATTATGGCCCCTATTGTACGAAAAATTGCATTTTTAGCTTGTGGTCCCTCTAGAAGTCACAATTATTATCCGATTTAAAAAAACAATCGAAAATATCTCCATTACACCATAATGCTGGTTGAGTTTGAATTTCGGACTAAAACTGCCGGACAAAAGGGCTGGCCCTCATAGGCAAATAGTGTAAAAATAGGTATATCAAGGTTGTGAACCCTCTAGATTTTGATGAAACTTGAAATTCCTGTTAATAACCCAGAGGTCTCGATTCTTTTCGATATTGGTGCATATCGGATCGTAACATCCTAAATTATGGCCCTTGATAACCAGTACAAAAAATCACGTTTTTAGCTTGTGGTCCCTCTAGAGGTCACAATTTTTATCCGATGTAAAAAAAAACTTTTGAAAATATGACCGTTGCACCCTAATGATCATTTAGTTTGAATTTCGTGAATATCGGACCAAAACTGCTGGACAAATGGCCACCCCTCATATGCAAATAATGTAAATATATGGTATATCGGGGTTGTGGACCCCCAAGAGTCCACAATTTTGATCTGATTTTGGGAAACTTTAAATTATGTTTATATCTTCCTGGATTATGGCCCCTGATTTTTCATAAAATTGCATTTTTTGCTTGTGGAGCTGCTAGAAGTCACAATTTGTATTCAGTTTTAAAAAACGTTTAAATATATGACCGTTACACATCAAGTTAGAATTTCGTAAAAATCTGACCCAAACTGCCATACAAAATGTTCGCTCCTTGTACACAAATAGTGTAAAAATATGTAATACCAAGGTTGTGGACACTCTAGAGAAGTCACAATTTTTGATGCAACTTGAAAAGTATGATTATAATCCAGAGATCTTGGTTCCTTTCGATATTTGCTCATATCGGACCGTAACTTCCTGGATTATGACCCCTGTACAGGTCCTAATTTTTATCTGGTTTTAAGAAATGGTTGAGTTCGAATTTAGTGAAAATCAGACTGAAACTGCCTGACAAAATGGCCTCTCCTTGTACATGTAGTTGTACGCAAATAGTGTAAAAGTATGTAATACCAAGGTTGTGGACCTTCTAGAAGTCACAATTTTTATTCAATTTTTATGAAACTTAAAATATATCTTTATATCCCAAATACCTCACTCCCTTTCGATATTCACGCATTACAGACCAACTTCCTGGATTATGTCCCCTTATTGTACGAAAAACTGCTTTTTTTTTTCTTTAGTTTGTTCTCTCTATCCATCACTTGCAAACTGTGGGCATATCTTGCCTGGCAACTGCTGGTCTTTGAAGACCGCGATTTTAATGTCTAGTAGTATGGCTTCTTGACATAAATACAACTGTCACTGGCAGAACATTGTTTTCATAGAATTTAAGTTAAATGATAATGAAGTTCAAAAATCAAAATAAATAAACGAAATAAAATTGGAATCTAGTGTTAAGTGGATTGTGCTTAGTTCAATATATGGAATTATGGAAGATAAACAGATTACTAAAAAGGTCGCTAAATAACATCTAAAGTGACCCTACTCAGCATATCTACAGGCAATCAAGGCCATTAGCATTATAAATATAAAAATAAAAGGGAATCTTAAACCGTATTTTGATAAAAAATTAAATTATTGTCATTCTAATCTTGAATCCAGATTTCCTCCTACTTCTGAAAACCTCTGCTCTTAAACAAGTTATTTAAATAAAAAATATGTTTTAGCTTTGAATTATATAATTGAAATGATGCTAGTTTATGTGAATAATAATCCTCCTTTCTAACACTGGGTTCATCACAGAGAGAGAGAGAGAGACTCGACACAAACTTGGTCATTTTGGGACTAATTTGCTTGCGCGTAGGGGTCTTTAGCAGTGGGAGGTAACCGAAGGACCCGGAGAAAACCCACAAGGTTGAACAGGCGACCCTACTCCTTGTCACGTACAACAGGAGAATCGAAACCACGCCAGTTGACTCAATGACAGACTTTATGATACAGCACGCACCTGCTAACCATTCAGCCATCCAACCCCCGCCCCCGGGTTCATCAACATTTCTCTATTGTCAAAATGTGAATACAATGATTTTGTTATTTTAATGTTTTGATAGATTAGAAGTTGTAAGTTGTTTAAGTGAACATGTCAGAAATGATACCTTACTGGATAATAAACACCGTATTGATAAAAAATGTCGAAAACAATTGAAAGTTGAACTACTTCAGAGGGTGAGTTAAAGATATTGTTTTTATTTTCTAATGCAAAGTAAAGCTTTAAGTATAATATGTACTGGCAGCTGTTACATGTTACAATTAGCAATATTAGTTACTTAACAGATTTATTTTGAGATCAACCCAGGTTACATAAGCATCATTGTTGGGTTGTTTCCCATAATTGGGGAACTCTAGAGGCTAAACTTAAAATTGAATACATGAGGTTTGGTGTCCATTTGAAATAAGGCTATAAATCACATAATCTGTCATAGCGAGGAGATAAGTAGCATTTTAATTTCTGAAGAAAAAAAATTAAAATCTTCCCAAAGGGTACTTGGAAGTAGTAGATTAATTGATAATTGTTCAATTTTCTGAAAATTAAATCAGAGTTCATGCTATATCACTTTTTTAAACAGGGAGAAAGTATTAATTTAGATCCAAAGTTGAAAAAGGCATGCCATACTGAAATTGAGGCATTGTGTGGTGGTCGTGAGGCAGGAAATGCAGAGGTAAGGTTTAAAAGATTGTGTCTTTTAATTTTGTACTATTATTTGGTTCATTTGTCAACTAATTAAAATTGTGAATTTATATTATTTAAAATTGAGGTATCATTGAGAATCAGATGGCGGTGAGTTATTCATGAAAATGTTGTTGAAACAAAATGTCAAAATGTGAGGAAATAGTCTGATCTGAAAGTTTCAGCTTAAAATATTGAGAAGTCCCAGTTTTTTTCCTGGGTTTTGATGTGGGGGAAATGAAATATCAATATGTGAAGAGACCACCTTATCAGAAAAATTTAGGTCAAAATATTGAATCGTTAATAATACAGAACCTTCCATTTCAAAATTTTTGATATTGTGTAGAAAGTTGGCAAATTAAATTCATTTTTATCCATTCACATTACAGTGTATCTTATCTCAGTAAACTGGATGAAGAGATGTTGTTGTACAGTATTATTTTTATACGCCCACATTGAAATGTCATCATATATTGTCGTCGCCCCTGTCAGTCGTACATTTGGTCCGGCGTCCATACTCTAGAGGCTAAAGTTATAATTAATATCCAATTGCCTTTAAATTTTTACGCACAGTTTAAATTCATGAGACGAAGAAGCTTATTGTTTTTCCGCTATTTTCTATAATTACTGCCGGAGTTACAGCCGTTGACCTCTTAAAAAATTTGTAGAAGTTCTTGAGACTACAGTTAAGTAGTCTGGAGGCTCAGCGCGGGGGTGGGGGTGTCCACCAAATGGGCACAAAACCAGACCCAACTTTTCTAGAGTAAAATTTTGCGTAGAATACGATGCCGAGTGGTAATCAGTCCGGTTTTGTCCATAATACTCTGCTCATCAATACAAGGCCGTTGCACATGTTCTCTTTCCCGAATGATTTGTGTAATTTCCTTGTAAACCCGCCTGATTACACATCTCTCGCATAAATTGTCCTAATTTGTTGACACCCACTGGTTGTTTTCCATATCTTAACCCAGAGTTCAATGGTTTTCTGTAAAAATTCCTGGTTCCAATGGCCTCCAAGTAGGTTTTAAAAACGGTATAAATACATCTTTCACCTGCAAAATAATACTGGTAATTTTATAAAGCCCATAAAAGCATTATTGTGTTTTTGTATAGTTTTAAGTGCAGTATGTAAGTAACTTTTTATGTTCATGAGAAATTCCAAAATTTCAATTGATGCCGAATTATTGATATTTATAAGAGTAATGTGGGAGTTGGAAAGAAATACATCTTTGACTACTGGACTTAAGGCTGGTGTCGCTTATTAAGATTTACATTAATGGGTAGTACTTTTCGCGTTCAGTGGACATCAACCGTTACAAATACAACAACGTAAGACACTCGAAAGGTACCCCCAAACAAAACAAACCAAACCATGGACGAAAACATATTTAACTATTTAAAAATAATGTGAATTTTGTAACATACAGTAAACTTAACGCCATATATAGGACAGTAATGTTTGATGTTTTTGTTTTTTATTTGTAGATGAGCGAGTCCTCCCGAAAAAGTTTTACTATTTCTTCAAATAAATCTTATGTAATCTCCATTAGTATCATTTCCAAGTTCAAACTGAAAAGCTTCTAAATTTCTGTGCTCGTCTCTACCGCGCAAACCAAACAGCTTGCATCCATAAAAAAACACTGTGTACTGAAGGCTTGTTGAATTGTTCAATCCAAACACCCCTGTTGACCATAACTTCTCATCAGAATCTGACAGTGTATCAGCTGTTTTAGGCTTACTTCAGAGGCCTCGGGAAGCTAACTCTTTCATTCTGGCATCTAAAACTTTTCGGGTAGACATAAACTGTTTATCAGTTTCATCCATTAAATTTTTGGCGACATTCTTATCTCTCAGATGCCTCATCAAGCCACAGATCTTGTAATACACCGATTTGGGGGGATATTCGTCGCTGTTTTTTTACGTGCCTCAACTATGAACCTTTGAAGCCAGAATTCCATTACTGGGGGTTCCATAAGATGTAACTCGGTTATTTTATCCGTTTGCGACCGGGTTTCTCTCCACACATCAAAAATGTTCATGGCCCATTTTGTATTTTTCCTTGTGTTAGCATTGGTCCTTCAATAAATTAATAGATCAATTTCTTCACTGGAGACGGATATAGGAAAACGGCTTGAATCGGCCTCGACCTTTGAGATTGGAAGCTTTATGTCAAGCGAGAAAGTTGACTGTAAATCAAAATTATCGTAGTCTAACTTAGTATCAACAGATTCTTCAAGCTGATTGGGGAAATAAAGTAGAATTAAGCGGCACGTCTTCAAAACAATGGGCAGTGGCAGTTCTATTTAATAATAACTTTGAATATAAAATACTAAAAATCCCAAAAGATTGGAAAAATGGAAACTATATCTTCATTGAGATGGAAACAAATAACATAACTTTACTTTTGATTAATATATACGGTCCAGGCTGGTATTTGACGTTAAATCTAACTTTGGATAATAATTACAAACATGAAAACAATCCAAAAGCAAAATCAGAGGTTCTGAATATGTGCAACAAACTTGAACTTGTTGACGTCTGGCGATCCTTTAATGAAACAAAAAGGAAATATACTTGGAGAAAGAATAAACTTCTAAAGAAAGGTTGCTTAGATTTTATCTTGGTGATTGAAAATTCGATGCCATTTATCTCAAATTCTGTTATTCAATCAGGGTACAGAACTGACCACTCGGCTGTCAACTTAACTGTTAAAGTAAGTCACCACAAAAAGGATATTAAAAGTTTAATAAATCCCTCCTATATGATAAAAACTTTAGTGAAATGATAAAAGAAAATATAAATCATATAAAAGAAATGTATGCAGTAAGCCCATATGATCTAAATTTTGTAAAACAATCAGTAATCCATAATCTAGAGTTCACTATTGATGACCAAACTTTACTAGAAATGCTTCTTCTACACCCAAGGGGGAAAATAATATCATTTTATTCATAAAAAAAGAAAAAGCTACCTGAAAAAGAAAAAAATCTTGAGAAACAAATTTTGAAATTATAAGAAGCAAATTATGAAAACCCTGAAGATAGTAATGTAACTGTAGAATAAGACAATGTCAGAAAAGAACTTGAAGATCATAGAAAAAATAAAATCGATGGTATAATAATCCGTTCAAGGGCAAGGTGGGTTGAACATGGTGAAAAAAATACTGCCTATTTCTGTAAACTTGAAAAAAGAAACTATACAAATAAAAATATTCAAGAGTTAATTATCACAGATGGTAAAAAAAACATGTGACCAAGAAAATATTCTCTTAGAAATAAAATTTTTTTACTCAAATTTGTATACAAATAAAGACTAAGAATACGAAACCCTTAAATTTCAAAACTGCTTAGGAAATATAAATATTAATAGATTAACAAACATAGACAGTGAATCAATAGAAGGGCAAATATCTTACGTTGAACTATGTAATACAATGAAATTTATGAAAAATAGCAAAATCCCGGGCCTAGATGGCTTCACTCCTGAATTCTTCAAATTCTTCTGGAAAGATATTGGACAATTACTACATAGATCAATAAACTACTTGTATCAAGTTGGTGAATTACATGCCTACCAAAACCCTGGAAATGTAGAAACTTACTAAAAAACTGGAGACCAATCATACTCTTAAATACTTATTATAAACTAATATCAGCCTGTATTGCAAACAGGATAAAAAACTTCCTTGGAAGTATAATCCATGAAGACCAAAACGGTTTTATTTACAGAAGGTACATTCGGGAATGTACTCATATACTATATGACATACTATTTGAAACAAAGAAACAAATTTGAGCAGAATGGTCCTCTTAATCGATTTTGAGAAAGCATTTGATACAGTCTCATGGAAATTTATTGACAGTACAGTAAAATATTTTAACTTTGGGTCTTCAATTCAAAAGTGGATAAAAACATTATATAAAAATTCTGAATCTTTTGTGACCCAAAAAAGTTTTATATCACAAAGTTTTAAACTGGGCAGGGCGCCAGGGCGATCGTCTCTCTCCGTACATTTTTCTACTATGTGCAGAAATCCTCGGGGCTATGATCAGACAAAGCAAGCAATTTTTAATCAAGAATATAAAATATCTCAATACGCAGATGATACTACTTTGTTTTTAGATGGCAGTGAAGAATCTCTAATACAAACCATGAATACACTTAAACTATTCTTTAAAATGTCGGGACTAATGTCAGGATTTATGTGGAGTAGAAATCGATTTACATCCTTGGGAATTAATTTTAGTATAAATCTGGAGGAAATTACTGAAATTAATTTCAATCCGAAATTAAAAGCTATCGAAAATTTATGTCAAATATGGAATGCTCGTAAATAAACGCTAATTGGCAAGGTAACTGTAATTAAAAGCCTTATTATACCAAAAATCAACCACCTTCTAATTGTGCTTCCAAACCCAAAAAATGCAATATTTAAGAAAATCGAAAAATAATTTATAATTTTCGATGAACGGTATTGATAAAATTAAAAGAACTAAAGTACAAAAAACTTATAAACAAGGTGGTTTAAACCTAACAGAAATAACTAATTTTACCAAAGCGTTAAATCTAACATGGTTTAAAAGGCTAATCCACAATGGAGAGTCACTTCCATGGTTTAAATTCCTTGAATGCAGCTTGAAGAAAATACCATACAATATATTTGCGGTTGGATCAGAATGGCTCCGGTCAATAAAATTAGGGACTAGAAACCCGTTTTGGAAGGATATCCTGAAAGCCTGGGCAGACTATGCCTTCAAAGTTTGCAAAACCCATAATGGAAAATGTACACAAATTTCTTTGCAACCCTTATGGTTTAATGCTGATATTAAGTTCTATTTTATAAAAGATTGGTATAAAAAAGGAATTAGAAATGATCGTTAGACTAAGTAAGGCACAGACTGACCATTATAAGGGTAAAATGATACCCGGGGTCAAACAGCAAAGTTACCACAGCATCACAACCAAGTCAGTAACGGGTAAATCCTCCTCTGTTTGCCAAACAAGCATTGATCCGACGTGGCATACTCCTAATGAGACGTCTAAGGTCATTTTGGTCCAGATTGTCCCATTCCTGTTGCAACGCAGCAGCAAGTTCTTGGACATTGGCAGGACGTTGTTGACGTTTACGTAACCTCTGTCCAAGCATGTCCCAGACATGCTCGATGGGGGAGAGGTTCGGACTCAGTGCTGGCCAAGGTAATGTGGTGATGTTCTGTTGTTGGAGGTAACCTGTAACGATCCTGGCCCTGTGACATCTTGCGTTGTCATCCTGGAAGATGAAACGGCGGCCATGACGTCGTGCGAACGGCACAACATGGACTGCCAAGATGTTGTCCCGGTAGTACTGGCCTGTAACACGCCCTGCAACAACATGTAAAGCCGTTCTTCCAGCAACAGTGATGCCTCCCCACACCATAACAGAACCACCCCCAAATCGATCATGTCTGATGACGTTAACGTCTTGGAAGCGCTCGTTTCGACGACGCCACACCCTCCTACGTCTGTCCAAAAAATCAACAGTGAACCTTGACTCATCTGAAAACATCACATTGCTCCAGCGTCGATTATCCCAGTGTTGACGATCCCTACACCAACGACGTCTTGCCTGAATGTGATGATCTCTCAAACAAGGGATCACGCGAGGACGTCGGGCGCGAAGGTGACCCCTATGCAGTCGATTCCGAATCGTCTGGCCACTCACTCTCACACCAGTGTCTGTTTGAAGACGAGCGCTGATCTGATTTGCTGTGATGACACGATTTCTCAAGGCCAAGGTACGGATAAATCGATCCTGGGCTTGAGTTGTCGCCCTTGGTCGACCTGAGCGTGGTCTGTCCTGTACAGATTGTGTATCACGGTATCTGGACCATAGCCTGCTTATGACAGACTGAGAAACATTCATCGTCCGCGCCACAACCGCCTGTGTTGTGCCGATCTGTAGCATGCCAAGGGCACGTAACCTTTCATTTTGGGTAAGCCGACGCATATCAAAATTTGTTTTCTGGTCACTAAAACAATTAAACTGATGTTTCCACCCTGGAATTCAATGCCACAATGACTGTAACATTCAAAGTCAGAGTCGTGCAAATCTTGGGTTGGACCCCCATGATGATCCCAAGCATCACCTGCATTCCATGCGGTAGCTATTGGTGCGTTTGGGCGTCACATGTAACTGGAAATGTTTCTTCTGTTAGGTTCTATAGTGACTTTTTTCGTAGTCATTTGCATATTTTAGTATTATGCCCCCAAAATCAAATATCCCCTACTTTTTTTGAATAGTATATATGATATCTTGGAGGAAAACGGAAAGTTTAAAACATTTGAGAAACTCAAATTGATATATAAATTGAAAGGAACATCCTTCCAATATGAGGCACTCAAACTAGCAATTCCAAAAGAGTGGAAATTAGGCCTTTTATCCCAATACCGTTCTCCTCCACCCCACCCCAAAATGAAATATGGTGGGAAACAAAACTATGCAAAGCTATTAATAAAGATATTTGGAGTGAATACTATATTATCCCTAAAAGTTGTATATTGGATACAAAGCTCCAAGAATTCCAAATTAAATTCCTTCATAGAATTATTCCCACCAAAAAATTTCTGTATAAAATAAAAAGACTGGACGATAACAACTGCTCCTTTTGTAAAACGAAAATTGAAACAGTAGAACACCTCTGCTATCATTGTAGTATTATTAAAAAATTATGGAATGATATTTCCAAGTATTTGACTAATATTGAATATATAAAGACACCAACTTAACGATGGAAGAGGTAATGATGGAAGAGGTAATGCTCGGTATAGTTGGGCCCCACCACTAATAAATCATATTATTATCTGCTGTAAATACTACATATTTAGATGTAGTTTATCAAAGAGTAATCCTAGCCTACAGGGTTTACTTAGAATTATAGCCTTCCAATACCAGGTGGAAAAACATATCTCTATAGAAAACGATAAATTTGACATATTCTTACAGAAATGGAAAATATATCATACTCATAACAATAATTCTAGGTTACCCTTTTAAGATAGTGTTAGAATATTGCTATTGATGGACCCATGTCTATGTATGTACTTTGTGTACTCTGGCTGTGTTATACTATACTATAATATGTATGTTATTATGCTTGTAAATGATTGAAGATGGATGAATAATAGTATTAAAAAAAAGAAAGATAACTTTGATTCTATCCGATAAAGAGTGTTGAAACATAGTGTAAAAGTATATAATACAAAGGTTGTGGACCCTCTAGAGGACACAATTTTTATCCGATTTTGATGAAACTTAAAACATATCTTTATATCCCAAAGCTCTCAGTCCCTTTTGATATTTGCACATTTCAGACCATAACTTTCTGGATTATTGCCCCTGATTGTACAAAAAATCGTGTTTGTTTTTATCATGTTCTCTATCCATCTCTTGGAAAATGTGGGCGTATCCTGCCTGGCAGACGTTGGTAACGATTTCCGATAATTAGTGCCAGAGTTCTAGCCCTTGGTTACTTCATGGGTTATTACTTGTATTCAGATTTTCATGTGTTGTAAATGTTTTTCATTATTGACAAAAGAAAAAATGGGCGACGACACTCGTTGACTGCCTGGACGACTTAGCTGCTGTGTCCGTATGTTTTGTTGCCTGGCAACCTATCCTCTTTTTTTTTAGATCATTGAATGCCTAAAATCCAAACAAAAGAAACTTTCCAGTGATTGTCATAAGCTCATCTTTAAACGGGAGGTAAGCATATAAAATCTGTAATGTTTTTAACCAAATTGTGTCAAACTGTTGCTCTTACACTTTTACTTAGTAAAGTATTGGTCGCCTTTGTACATTACATGTCTCTTTTTGTCTTTGCTTGTGTTTGTCTTTCACCATAGTTTAAACCCAACCTTCACTTGACAGAAGTGGTACCTGCAAGGTTGATATCTGCAGCAGTGCTTACTCTGGGTTTCATTTTTTTTCTGCCAAATTTTCATTTTAATTTATTAGCCATATGTTTTCTCCGCCAAAGTAAAGAACAAATATCTATTAGATTTTTTCAGTATTTTCTTTTTACATAAGTACATTCAATATAAATATGATATTACAATTTACAATATTCTACTCTGCTTTGCCGAAGCCCATTTTTTGAAAGCTTTTTCAACATCTTGGTTAACCACTTTTCCATTACTTAGTAACATTAAATTACACAGTGTATTTGTTTTTAATGAATATCTGTATATCTGACAATTTCCATTCATCCTTAAAAGATCTACCTTTTCAGTATGCGCTAAAACAAAAATGCATAATCAAGACTATGTTTCTTTTATTGTACCGACTTTAGTAATGATGATCGAGGCTAGGCCTAAAATTCAAAACCTAATATCGCGGTTCAGAGCTGAGCAATTTGACAGAAATTTCCAGCATATTCTATTCACGTTATCTATTTTTAACTATTATAGTGAGAACTGCCAGTTCTTTATCTAATCTCCCATAATGGACGATAGCTGATCATGTCAGTATCATCTGTAGACTTGGAGCATTTTGGTGGTGAAAACTGGTGATATACTAAAATAATCTGACATTCTTCTATCGGACGTTGATGAAGACTGTTAAATTTTTCGCTTACGACCCATGGCATGTGATTTGATGATAACTGACTTTCGACAACCCAAAGAATATATACGCAATTATAAACTGTAACAACAAACCTGGCTTCATTTATTAACGATACGGGCAACAGGAGTAAGACAGATAAAACAGACGTCATAATTCAATAATCCCAAACAATCAAACGAGTATTATTCACAGTGTCCGCCATTTTGAATGTAAAGCAACCGTCAAAATAGTCACCAATTTGTATTTGAAAACAAATAATTAAATCTTTTGTCTCTTAAACATACATTAGGCAAGAACTAAATCTGATTATTGCAAGTCTTAATTTAGGCTTCAGATGTTATAGAAATTATAAATTAGATCTTTATTTAAACAACAAGCCCAAAATCAACTCTGTAGACCCACGGATGGCTCGGCTACAGCTTGGATTTAAATAGGATTTCACTGATTGATTAAATCAAATATGGCGCCCCATGCGGAGATTATTAACCGTTACGTTGACGTCATCAGTTAGATTGAGGCTAAATGATAGAGTGTACGAAGCGAGGCCACTGTTGAGCGATGCCGCATGTCAGTCAATTTGATTGAAAGTTCGGCCTTGATATTATGTTCAGTTGTGGTTAAAATGAGAGTTTGGATGTTGGTATTATACGCTCTTTTATACGTTTACAGAAAAATTGATAAACATAGCAGCTAACATCACCCCAGTTGAATTGCAGCTCCATTGGATCACTGTAGTGTTTCCTATTTGTCTGCTTCGGGAGTCACGTAGTCACCTTACACTACAAGAGTACACGGAGGCTAACAAGAAGTCGGCTATAATTATGCCTCATTGATTTGCTCCATTCCTTTCAAACTTTGGCTTCTTATCTATATAATAAAAGTCTTATTTTTAATTTGTAGTAAAAATAAATGTGATACGAATTGAACTGCAACCCCGTCTCAAGCCATTGAAAACGTTACTTGATAATCGAGATTATGTAGGTGGAGTTAACGCCTGTCAGTCAAACGATCGGCAAAGGTGAAGATATATTTGACTACCATTTCTCCATTTCTAGTCAAATATTACAACGATGATAACTCTGTTCAGAATAAAGTAATTTGACTGAAATTTTCAATATATTCTTCTTTCATCGTCTACTTTTGAACTGTTATAGCAAGAATGGCCAACTCTCTGTAAAAATCTCCCATAATGTATCTTTAATTAGTTTATTACTACTCTTACTGTAAATACTAATCAACACTAATCCGAGATTGATCAAGAGACAAAAGATATCTCTATTATTGGCACCTAATTGATTGATAACTGACTCAGCCAAGCGCATAATAGACTGTAACGTGTATATATGCACGGCGTGGAAATCAAAGCTTTGTGGCAAGAAAAATTTATCGCCACGGTTAAAAAAAGAATAGCCATACAGGAAAAAGTTATCGCCAAAAATTTCGCCAGATTGAATATTTTATTACCAAAATTATATTTTTATCGCAATTGGCGGCAATGGCGATCGACAGCGTGAGCGCTGATCTGCAGGGTTGACAAGGAACGAAACAATACAAACATATATTACAGAATTGTTGATTTTATTTGAATTATATAGAATTCATTAAATAAGTGATTATTTTTATTTGAAATGCATATACAGAATTAATTAAGGATAAAATTAATTTTATTTGCTGTAGACGACACCTGCTTGTGTTATACGATGACAGGGCTCACGCTGTCGGTCGCAATTTACGATAAAAATATGAAAGGGGCAAATAAAATTTGATTTTGGCAATAACCTTTTGCGCCACAATTCTTAACTGATTGTCTTGAAACTTGACATTTATTCCTTTTATACCCTAAGGATGATCCCTATTGTTTTTGGTCCATGCCTGACCCCCAGTGGCTGACACACGCCAAATTTTTGTGTTTATTGTACACAAACCGCAATCCTGAATGGATCTGCTTGGAACTTAGCATATGTATTCCTTATAGCCTAAGAGTGTCAACTATTAGATTATCTTGGAACTTGGTATACTTATTCCTGATGTCCTAAGCAACTACTGATTTTAATGAAACTTGTAATGCATGTTTATAACCCAAAGATCTCAGTTCCTTTTGATATCCACGCATATCGGAGGGTAACTTCCTGAATTATGGGACTGATTGTACGAAAAATTGCGGTTTTTGCCCCCCCCCCCCCGCCTTTCGAAGAAAGCAGGGAACTTTAAAAATGGGTCCGTCCATCTGTCCGTCACACTTTTTGGGACACAATAGCTCTCCTAATTGAGCTAGAATGTTCAAACTTGGTGTAGGTGTTTATTATCACACATTTTTGGCAGATAAAATATTCCAGTCTGCAGAAAAAAATATGGACAATTTTATAAGCCTACATTTTTTAGGTCCACAATTTGTTTGTGAACACTCTACAGGTCACAATTCTTATTTGATTTTGACGAAACTTGAAATATAGGTTGATCTCCAAAACATTTCGGTTCCTTTCGATATTGTCATTTATCGGAAAGAAACCGATTATGGCCCCTGATTGTACAAAAAAACACATTCGTGCCGTTTGTTCAAAATTCTATGACCTTGCATTGTACATGTAACCACAGCAATAAATATGATTACAGAAAGATGAATTTGCTATTGCTGATTATGGTATAGCTACAGCTTGTAAAAGAATGATACAGGTAAGTAAGCCACTTTTTGATTCTGTTTATTTCACATTTCTTACCCAAACGATTCTGGAAAAAAAAAAATTGCTGTGAGGGCATAAATCCCACAGCATTTTGATAATTATTTCTTTTCTGAAGAAATTGCTTTGAAGTATATATAAATAATGCTTGTATTTCTAATCTGATACTCTTTATCAAAATAATCAGTCTCTGGTACAGTAGATATTGCATAGTAATTGAGCTAGAATGTTCAGACTTGGTGTAGAAGGTTATTTGGTCGTTGCCTTAACGGAGTTCGAAGATGAGCATTTTCTGCTTAGGGTAAGCCGAGATAAGCAATTTGATTAGTTGATACTTTAGGAGACAATAACTTTAGTTCTGATTAAACATGCATTATGCAAGAGTTAAATCTGCCTATTTCAGGTCTTTCTTTAAGCCTGAAATGTTATCTAAATTATTAATTAGACATTAATTAACCTATACAGGCCATAATCAACTCTAGATGGCTGCGCTAGCCTGCGATCTTTAGTGGATTGTAAGCCGATTTACTGCATAACTTTCCTTCTCATTAAACGATTAAATGGATAATCGAGACTATGCTGTTTATCGTACTGACTTTAGTAATGATGACCGAGGCTTATGGGAATTTCAGTCGCTTAGTTCTCGGTTCATAGTGGACCCTCAAGTTTACTAAATGTTATTGTGCTTGATAACGATAAGAGAATACTTAACGAAACATCGTGCCTGTGTATAATAAACCAGTGATTGTTGTCCCATATAACTGTATAGTTTTGTTGGTGTACAGTTTCATTACATCAATACCTTGACTAAGTTCAATAATGAACATGTTCTGCTGAGGGTAAGTAGAGCAATAAGCAATTTGATTGGTCGAAACTTTGGAACACAACAACTAGAATTTTCCTAAGCAGAGATTTGCAATTTGATTGGTTGATGCTTTGGGACACGATAACTTTAGTTCTAATTAACCCGTTAAGTGCGTAGGTCGTTATATAACGTCCTGGACAACTGCCACTCACTGTTTGTAGGGCGTAATATAACGCCTTGGAGGTATTTTCCCCAACCTATTCTTAGAACATAGTTCATCACTTGGGGGAATCCCTTGGGAATTCCCCCACGATCGCAGCATGTGTAGGACATTATATTACGTCCTGGACATCTGCCACTCACTATGTGTAGGGCGTAATATAACGCCTTGGAGTTATTTTCCCCAACCTATTCTTAGAACATAGTACATAGTTCTTCCTCACTTCGTCAAATTAATTACACAATAGGGGGTAGTTAACGTTTTAAAAACGTCACACTTAACGGGTTAAGTGAGAGTGATGAAACTTGGTGTATAGTTTCATCACATCAATACCTTGACTAAGTTCGATAATGAATATTTTCTGCTGAATGTAAGCAGAGCGATAAGCAATTTGATTGGTCGAGACTTTGAAATACAATAACTCTCCTTCTAATTGAGGTAGAATGTTCAAACTTGGTGTAGGTGTTCATTAGTGAATACCTTGATGGAGTTTGATGATGAACATTGTCTGCTTATAGTAAGCAGAACAGTGATGGGATTTTAACCGTATATTCCGGACTTGTCCGAATCTTTTTTCGAAACGCCCAAAATTGTCCAAGTGGGAATATGCCCAATCGGACATCAAGACATGGTGAATAATATTCAAATTCCAAAATTAATATAGTGTACTGAGTGTATAACTACAGTGCAACCCGATTATCGTTGAGAATAGGCTGGATTGATTAGTTAATTAAGTGATCGACTACTTATCGTCTACACACCTACCTTGATTAACTACTTATTCTGCCTTGATTGGCTGACTTAATTCTTTATCGGACAATTCATCAAAACAATCCTGAACAGAAGTCATTGCTTCTCCTTTGTCGGACGATATATCAATCCAATAAGAGTGATTATAAACTTAATCTGATTAACCCGTGATTTATCCATTGTCTCACGTTTTAATCTCCTTTGTGTCGGATAACTTGTCTGTCATATATTTTCGGTGGCATCCGAAGTTAAATAAAGATATTTCACACACACGCATATGGCGTTCAGTAATTAAAATGAAAGTACAAATCTCGCGAGACACGTGAAATTAAGAGATGTATACGTGCCGAATGCAATACCCCTGATATCCAAGAAAAGATTCTATTTTGATGGCATATTGTCGAATTTATGATCATATTTTGAATGGGGTTTATGTCTTTAAATAAATAAATAAACACGCTAAGAAATGTTGACGAATATTTCCATTGGAATGACGTAAGTAGTTAATTGTTTTAGACGATAGCGCGTGCTACAGTCGAATGCAATTATTTAGCAGTTGGTGTCACTCGCTCGTTGTATTAGAGCGTCGTTAACTACGGTTTACGCCTACGGCCAAATAAATTTCGGGATGTCATTTTTTTTACCTTCCGTATATAAATCGAAACGGAGTATCAGAGAAATGTCGGACTTTGCTGAAAAATGTACCGATGTATGACCCGAAAAATACGGTAATTTTGGGGGAGTTTGAAACAGATCGGCAGCAGTCGGCACGCTGCCATTCTATAGTATTACGATGTCATGTAATTTTGTAGGAATATTATTGACATAAATTTGAATACCATACGGGTTTTAAACATGAAATATAACGAGGTGCACCTATTTTATTTTACATATGAATTTGAATATATTTTGTTGACACGTGATTCTTAATTGTGTTTTGAAAACGTCTGCTTAAATTACGATAAGAGTTATGCCCCTTTATTTTCGGGAAAAAATGTCCGACAAGAAATTTTTTGAAATCCCATCACTGAAGCAGAGATAAGCAATTTGATTGGTTGATGCTTTTGGTCACGATAACTTTGGTAATAATTAAGTGAGAGCTATGAAACTCTGAGTATAGATTCATTATATCATTACCTTGATTAAGTTGATGGGAATTTTCTGCTTAGATTAAGCAATTTAATTGGTCATGACTTTGGAACATAACAACTCTGCTTTTAATTGAGGTAGAATGTTTGACTGAGTTCAATGATTAACATTTCCTGCTAAAGCTAAGCAGAGCTGAACAATTTCTTTGACTTTGATTTTATCTGATAGAGAGTGATGAAACAGTGTATAGTTGATAATCAGTTTGATTGCTCGATACTTTTGAAAAGGATAAACGGGCAATTATTTTTAATGTGTCGTTTAATTATTTCGGGATTTCGGCAGGGGACATCAGCCTCACTGTTGACTTGTTTTCTTACAGATTCATTGTAGCATTGATGATGATAATGAGATCAAAATAATGGATTGTCTAAAGAAAGCCAAAGATGATCCTTCCTTTGATAATAATTGTAGAACTATCGTCTTAAGACGACAGATAGCCCAAAGTAATGGTAAGTTATACAAAGATATATTTCACAATTTTGTTTGCTTTGTGGGTTAAATGATTATGGCTATGGAAATAATGGAAAAAAAGCATAACTTACATATAGAAACATTGGCATTCATGTTTGATGTGACTCCCATTTTTGTGTCTCAATATTTCATTGTTGTTGAAGATTTTGTCTTACTCATTAGTTTCAATCTTAAACCCCATACCCAGAATTTATAGGTTTTAATCTTAAATACCTGACCCTAACACTAACCTTAATCCTAAAATGTAAAAGTGATGGAATGTAAAAGGGAGTCGGATCAAACATGATCGCCGAAACATTTAGTGTGATGATGTTTAGAACATTGTTAAAACTTGAACATATTCTACAAGCTTTTTTTTACTGTAATACATATCTGTTGCTCTGTGGGGGTAGTTGTCTGGTTCACCACAGATGGCATGGATTAACCCTTTCATTGCGTCTACCCGGTAGTACCGGGTATGATAAAATGTCATTAAAATGCGTGTACCCGGTATTACCAAGTGCCATCTATTGTATTTTCTATAAATACAATAGAACATATTTCCACGTGTTTTAAAGCGGCAAACCGTAAAATGGCAGAGTGCATAATGACAACATAGACGATGCAATCTCGGCGAAGTCGTTAGTTCATTTTATATATCTTTACCAAAATCCAGTGAAAAAAACAATATCCCATAAGTATTTCATGGAGCAAAATTCGTTTTCGTGTTAGCTTTAGTGAGAAATGAGAAATCCAAAATGGCCGCCATGACGTCACGTGACTACATGATTATGCAAATTTCCAAAATTCTATTTTTTCCTCTTAGCCCAAACCTCATGCCCATCCCAACACACAAAAAGAATTTTCATAAAAGCTTTCATAAGTACTGTTTGGCGTTTAGTCCTAAACCCACTTTTTTCGTCAAAAAAGGGTCTAGCACAGGCAGTGGATTTACGTCTAGCATTTTTTCCTCTTAGCCCAACCTCATGCCCATCCCAACACACGAAAAGAATTTTCATAAAAGCTTTCATAAGTACTGTTTGGCATTTAGTTCCAAACCCACTTTTTTCCTCAAAAAAGGGTCTAGCACAGGCAGTGGATTTACGTCGAGCATTGAAAGGGTTGAAATGTATTGAATCTAAAAAACATGTTTTAATCAACCTCTCTAAGTACAAAAGATTCCCAACATGGGAGATAACTCCCAAGGACTCCAATAGAGAACAAAGGGAGGGAACTCTTTCATGAAAGGTGGCATTACTATTTGACATCCCCCTATCTTGAAAGATGTGAACTCTCTTTGATATATTAGAGTTTACATCATCATAATCAAAGAAAAAGAACGAAATGGAAAAAAATAGAAATAGAATTCTTTGTGAATCACTCTCAGAAGCAACCAAACACATTAACATTTCAAGCTTAGAAATTTGTGAAATGGAAAATAGTCATAATTAGTAACAATCTTCAAAAACATACAGCTACAGCATGTTTAAACAAGCTAAAGATTTTCCACAAAATCAATAGTTATAGATTACAAGATGTGAACTCTCTTTGATATATTAGAGTTTACATCATCATAATCAAAGAAAAAGAACGAAATGGAAAAAAATAGAAATAGAATTCTTTGTGAATCACTCTCAGAAGCAACCAAACACATTAACATTTCAAGCTTAGAAATTTGTGAAATGGAAAATAGTCATAATTAGTAACAATCTTCAAAAACATACAGCTACAGCATGTTTAAACAAGCTAAAGATTTTCCACAAAATCAATAGTTATAGATTACAAGTATGAAATTTTCATCCAATGTTTTATTACCAGTTGATTTTACAAGTATTGCTCCAACCTCAGTGCTTAATATCACAAGTTATATGCAAGTACATACATTTCCTAACATCAAATGCATGATTAATACCGATTTGAAACAACTTCAAAGAGTTTTTAAATAGAAAGATGATATGGCATTAATAAGGTTTACCTATAAAAACGATCGTTGATTTATTAAATCACAACATCAAAACATGAACAATAATATTTATTGTATTTTCTTAACTACCTGTGCAGGGTTCTTAATCCAGAATTGCTCAAATGAGGTCCAGGTAGTGAACTGGGTTTTAAAATTTTAAGCCTCCATTCCCTTTAATATAACCAGACTTCAACAAAAATAATTTTTGGTAATTTGTTATAAGGAATATCAATATCATATTCTACTGTATGTGATTATCACAATAATTCACTTACCGGCTTGAAATTCACGTCAGTAATACTCCTGAATGAATTACTGTATTCGTTTTTTATTTCGATTGGATATAAGCTGATACGGTACCATTGCATTTCTTCATTACACAATTTGTAGGGGTTTTTTTTCTACTTGCAAATGTTTTTATAGGCCCACATTTTCATGTGGATGTATATTGTCGTCCATCTGTCCGTCCACAATTTGTTTGTGGACAATCTACAGGTCACAATTTTCATCTGATTTTGATGAAACTTGATATATATATAGGTCTATCACCAAAGACTTCGGTTCCTTTTGATATTGGCATGTATCGGATCATAACTTCATGGATTATGGCCCCTGATTGTACGAAAAATCATGTTTTTAGCTTGTGGACACAATTTTCATCTGATTTTGATGAAACTTGAAATGCATGTTTATAATCCAAAGATCTTGGTTCCTTTTGATATTCGCGCATATCAGATCGTCACTTCCTGAATTATGGCCCTTGATTGTACAAAAAATCTTGTTTTTTTTTTTAGCTTGGGGCCCCTCTAGAGGTATCAATTCTTATCCGATTAAAAATAAACATTTAAATATATCACCGTTACACCTTAATAATGGTTGAGTTCGAATTTCATGAAAATTGGACCAAAACTGCCAGACAAAATGGCCGCATTTCATAATGCAAATAGTGTAAATATATGGTATATCAAGGTTGTGGACCCTCTAGAGGCCACAATTTTGATCCGATTTTGATGAAACTTGAAATACATGTTTATAACCTAACGATATTGGTTACTTTCGATATTCACGCATATCGGATCGTAACTTCCTGAATTATGGCCCTTGATTGTACGAAAAACCATGTTTTTAACTTGTGGTCCCCCTAAAGATCACAATTTGTATCCCGATTTAAAAAAAACAACGTTTGAATATATCACTGTTACACCCTAATGATGATTGAGATTGAATTTAGTGAAAATCACACCATTTTGATGAAATTTTGAATTTATGTTTATATCACAAAGATCTTGGTTCCTTTCAATAATCGTGCATATCCGAAAAATATATCACCGTTCCACCCTAGTGACAGTTGAATTCCAATTTAGTGAAAATCTGACCAAAACTGCCTGACAAAATGTTGGCTCCTTGTATGCTAATAGTGTAAAAGTATGTCATACCAAGATTGTGGGCCCTCTAGAAGTAGGGGGTTGGATGGTCGAATGTTAAGCACATGTGTCCTGTATCATAAGGTCTGTCATTAAGTCAACTGGGGTGGTTTCAATTCCCCGTTTGTATGGCCAAGGAGTCAGGTTTCCTGTCCAACCCCGTAGGTTTTCTCCGGGTCCTCCTGTTTCGCCCACTGCTAAAGACCCCTACGCAGAAAAGTGAATTATTGAAATAAAATTGAACCGTATGTTAGTCCCTAAATGACCTAGTTTGTGTGGAGTAGACATTAAACCCCATCTCTCTCTCTCTCTCTCTCTCTCTCTCCCTCTCTCTCTCTCACTCTCCCTCTAGAAGTCACAATTGTTATCAGGTTTTGATGAAAGTTAAAATATATGTTTATGTCTCAAAGATCTCGGTTCCTTTCGCTATTTGCGCATATCAGACCATAACTTCCTGGATTATGGCCCCTATGCGCAAGCGAATTATTGAAATGAAATTGAACCATTTAGTCCCGAAATGACCTAGTTTGTGTTGAGTGGACGTTAAACCCCATTTCTCTCTCACTCCCACCTCTAGAAGTCACAATGGTTATCAGATTTTGATGAAACTAAAATTATATCTTTATATCCCAAAGATCTCAGTCCCTTTCAATTTTTTGCACATTTCAGACCATAACTCTCTGGATTATGCCCCCTTATTGTACGAAAAATTGCTTTTGTTTTTAGTTTGTTCTCTATCCATCTCTTGCAAAATGTGGGCGTATCGTGCCTGGCAACCGCTGTTTTTTTTAAAAAATATTATTTCCTTTCATTAGACTACCGTTTGAATCCTCAACTAAGGAAATTATGCAGACAGGATATTCCTAAATTCTGTAAAGATATTTTAAAGACTCAAAAGAATGATGAAGATTTGGAAGGAAAAGTTATCAACTGTCTTAAAAAACAATATGCTGTTAAGGTATGTGTGTTAAAGGGAAAACAGGGTATTACTTCAAAATTATGTCAACCTAAAGACAGTATTCTAAAACATAATTATGTATGAAACGATTTCTAATTCCGTGACACATAGGGGTAGGGGTGGCCAAATGGTTTAATGCTAGCACTTCAGATCATAAGCCTGTCATTGAATCAAGTGGCATGGTTTTGATTCCCCGCATTTATGTAAAAAGGAGTAGGGTTGCCTTTCCAACATCGTGAGATCTTTCCATGTCCTTTGTTTTCCTCCCTGTGTTAAAGACCCAAACATGCAAACGAATTATTGAAATAAAATTGAACCATATGTTAGTCCCGAAATGGGCAAGATTGTGTTGAGTGGACATTAAACCCCATTTAACTCTCTGTTGTAATGGTTTGTAAAACTTACTTTCCTATGAAGTAAACAAAGTATCTGTTGTTACATTAGTCCATGTTATTCTGTCTGCGTGTAAGGGGTTGAAGTATAAATGTCATCCACTGTAGATAAACATAGCATAGCACATGTTATGATAGTCCACCACCCACTGTAATCACCTTCAGATTTACAAGACAAGCTATTACCACTGTTGCTTTATTTATTTACAGTGGATGACGGTTAAAGATACATTATGGGGGATTAGATAAAGAGTTAACTGTTATCGCTATAATAGTTTAAAAATAGAGAATGTAAATAGAAGATGTTGAAAATTTCACTTCAGTCGGATTGCTCCAGATACAATTAGCTTTTTAATTTTAAGTGTAGCCTTGATCATCATTACTAAAGTCGGTACGATAAAAAAACATAGTCTCTATTATCCATTTTTGGATTCAATCATCAATGAGCGATGAACAGCAGATTGGATTCCAATCCAGTGAAAATCTGACACCTAAGATGACATTGAGAATTGATTATGGTTTCGAAAAGTTAATTAATGTCTAATTGATAATTTAGATAACATTTCAGGCCTAAAGAAAGACCTGCAATAGGCAGATTTAGATCTTCCATAATGTATGTTAAATATATTTTATATAAAAAAAATATAATTTAATTACATTTTTTTGTAGAGATTATCAAAAGAATGCTCATATGAAATATATGACAGAATAAAAGAATCTGCTCGTGATATTAGATTGGCACCCCAGTTAGCCTCCATTTGTTCTGCTGAGGTAATATTAATTTATTCTCTTTATACTCTACACCCATAAAGCTTTACAAAATGTAGAAAGGTAATTTTAAGTTCATGTACCTGTGAAGAGAGGCACATGATACTAAAAACTGAATTATGTTTGTATTTTCCCTAATATACATGCCAATATTGATGACTTCACGCCGTCCAATATAAAATTGTGTCTGATAAATCAACAGAAATTTAGAATGAAGAAGGCAATTAGTGATGGGTGTGTGGGTAGAGGTTTTGTTACTATCTGATTCTTGTATCGTAAATATTGACCTGCTTGCTTTATAGTCAAAATACGCAAAATATGTACTGACATAATAATTGACTTATGGTTAGCAATAAAAGGGTAGCCAATTTGTATTGCCAAATTTTATTTTAGATACAGGCACACTGTCAAGATGAAGTCATAGCTGCTGGTGATGAAGATGAAATTAAAGGCGGACCTGGTCGAATTCAAGAGTGTTTAAAAGCAAAATTTCTTGAAAAACAATTAAAAAATAAACAGTGTATACAGGTATGTAAACATGTATAATTTGATATTAACTTCCAGTCTATCGGGTGTCAAAAGATTTCAAGTTTGCATAAATCTTGATTGTTTTGGTGAATAGCTTAAACTGGTTTGCAATCGTCTGAATATATATGAAAGATTCATAATTAGTTATTGAATATGAATCTGGTTTGTTTACAACGTTTGCATCCTTTGGAAAGATGAAGCTACTCAACTTGAGTCACAGACGACAGCCCAGTGGGAGCAGAACAGTGGGACGTAAAACCCCATTCATTTCATTTCTCAGGTTCCATTTGAGACCAATAGCAGTTACTTACACCTGTTATTATATTGCAATCCAGTCACAAATTTCTCTTTATCATTATTTCTTTAGTAATCGGGTTGACTGAAATAAAACAATCATATTTAATAACTGTAGCTACATGTAATAACTATGTTATGTTTTGCAGGAAATTGCCCTATTGATAGAAGAGAATCGTGTAGATATAAATGTTGATCCTTTATTAAATGCAGCTTGTCAGAATGACATAGTACATTTTTGTCAGGGTGTAAAACCTGGTGAAGGAAAAAGCAAGTAGATTATTCATATTTTTTGTCCCTGCCTTTTGAAGAAAGCAGGGGACTATTAAAATGGGTCTGTCCGTATGTTCGTTCGTCCGTCTATCCGTAACACTTTTTGGGACACAATAACTCTCCTTCTAATTGAGCTAGAAGAATGTTCAAACTTGGTGAAGGTGTTTATTAGTTGAATGCCTTGATGGAGTTCGATAATGAGCATTTTCTGCTTATTGTAAGCAGAGCGATAAGTAATTTGATTTGTCGAGACTTTTGAACACAATAACTCACCTTTAATTAAAGGGGCATTAGGTAAGATTAGATAAAGAGCTGAGAGTTCTCGCTATAATAGTAAAAAAAATTAGAATATGCTGACAATTTCAGTCAAATTGCTTCACTCGGAACTGGGATATTAGCAATTTAATTTTAGACTATCCTCGATTGTCATTACTACCGTTTGTACAAGTATAAACAAAGTCTCGATTATCCATTTTTACATTAAATCATCCATCACAAACCATATTCAAATCCACTAAATGTCGCAGACTAACGATGGCATTGAGAGTTGATTATGGTCTCGATAAGTTAATTAAAAATTGATAATTGATAATTTAGATAACATTTAAGGATTAAAGAAAGACCTGCAATAGGCAGATTTAGCTCTTGCATAATGCATGTTTAAGGTAGACTGTTCGAACTATAGGTGAATGCCTTGACAGTGTTCGATCATGCGCATTTTCCACTAAGGCTAAGGAGAGATAAGCAATTTGATTGGTTGAGACTTTGGAACACCATAACTTTGGTCCTAATTGAATGAAGTTTAAACTTGGTGTAAATGTTCATAAGGTAAATGTCTTGATTGAGTTTAATGATTAACATTTTCCTATAAAGCTAAGCAATTTCATTGGTTGATCCTTTGGGACAAGATTACTTTTTTTCTAACTGGGGGTTGGGTGGCCAAATGGTCTAAGGCATGCACTTATAGATCATAAGGTCTGGCATTTAATCAAGTGGCATGGTTTTGATTACAAGATACATTTAGTCGGGTCGCCTCTCCAACATCATGGGATTCCTCCCACTGCTATAAAGACCCTTATATGGAAGCGAATTATTGAAATAAAATTAACAATATGTTAGTCCTGAAATGGACCAGTTTGTGTTGAGCGGATGTCTTTTTGTTTCACAATAAATCTGCTTACTAATTGAAGTTGAATGTTCAAACTTGGTGTAGATTTATTTTCAGTGAATTCCTTGAGAGTTCAATGATGAATATTTTCTGCTTAACCTAAGCAGCTGACGGTCTGTCACCCATTTTTGGAACTTCTTGTCTTTTGTCCTTATTGTGTAAAAATTGGTGTCTGTAATAACTACTTTATTATATTTATAGTTATGTCATGTCTGCTAGCAACATTAGAAGACAGTCCAAAAGCAATGGAGTCGAAATGTTTCACTCTTTTAAAAAATAGAAAAGAAATGTGGGAATATGCTGCTCAGGTAGGTTTTGTCTTTTGTTTAAATTGTACTATAACATTCTGTCGGATTTCACATGATAGGGATCTATAGAAAGCATTTTGGTTTGAAGGGTAGTGCGATTATCTGGGGCAGTAAAAAGAAAACGTGAAAATAAACTAATAATTCGATTTCTTTTTAATATTATAGCACGGCCCTTTTTTGCCGAAAATCAAATAAAACCTACTAAATACATTTCATGCTTATATGTAACGCATAACTTTGCCAAACGTTATTTCAGAGAAAACTAATTTAAAGAGGAATTGTATCATATATTAAGTTTAATTTTTAGTAAAGCATGGGGATATCATAAGTAAGTTAATTCGATGTTTTTGTGGCATGTACTATATTAGATGAGATCGAAAGATTGTTTTAGATTAGAGGCTACAGAACCACAAGTAAGGTGGAATTAATAAGTCGAACGGAACTGTTCTTCAGAATAAAAGGCGATGCCAATCATTAAATTTTACAGAGTTTGTGCTGTCACAGTTTCTAAGCCGAAATAGCTCTTTGGAATTAATGTCTTGGTTAGAAATTTTGGCATTTACCTGTGACAATAATTTTAGCGATATTTAAGGATATAGAATGGTTGATGCGTCATGCAAAGGTCTGTATGTGTAAACATGAAGCTTATAGTTTCAACTTGGAAGAAATGTTAGAAAATGGCTAACAAACAATCAACATTGTTGATTATAAAACATTCTTGTTCATCTTTGCTTGAACAATTACATGTCGCGTGTTTAAGTTTTATTGCCCAATCAAGACTGTTATGTAATATTTAGGCCAGTGTTTTATTGGCTGTGATCAACGAACCGCACTGTGCTTATAACCTGATAATACTTGTCCCATTTTGTTAACCAAAACTAACACTAACATTGTATTAAAAGATGACAGTATGTTATTAGAAAATGTACATCATATATTCATATAGTCATTATTTTGTGAATTGCAAGTAGAAAAACACAAACAATTTAACAAAATTAACAATGCCGACAGACTTTGATATCATATTTTGCCACCAAAACATTGATATGTAAATACAGAGTTTTTGCTCACGATTCACAAATAGAGAAAGGAAGGTATAGCAATATTCAGAGAAGTAATAGCATTTGTAAATTTTGTAACTATGATGAAATTGAAGACACGTTTCATGCTTAGATAGTTTGCCCATCTTATAAGTATATCAGAGAAAAGTATATCGAAAAATACCATTGGTTAAAAAAAAAAAACATCAATGTATAAATTAGCATTGCCATTAAAAAGTACTAAAGTTCAACATTGAATATACGCCAGTATTCATATACACACATTCAACTTTCAACACAAGATAATTCAAAAACGCAAATAGAACGTGCCGATTTTACAATACGGCAGCAGGGCGTCTGACTTAAATTCCAAACTGCCAATCAACATTCCATTATTTAGACTTCAAAAGAAAAAAGGGACCCGGTACAAAACAAGACAGAATGTTTCGTTCAGAAGTTGAATAATATTTTAAAGGTTTGCTGAGTCTTTTTGAACACATATCGGGAATTCCTAACGATAGGCGAAACCAATAATCGAAACTTTACTGGATTTGAGAAAAATGAAATACGTTATGCATGTTTTGAAATTTGTTAAATACTGTTTGTTCCAATGCAGGCTACTTTGTACTAATCGTCTATTTAATGTCATATGATATATTTGTGTAACATTTATATCGGAAACGAATTTATATTTGCCTTAGCATGTGATGTTCATCTGTTTTTATGATGTAATGTTTAAAATAAATATGTGTCGGTTTAATAAACAAATTTATATTATACTAAAAATCAACACCGAATAGACTCCAATATTCACACATACAGACCTTTGCATGACGCATCAACCATTCTATATCCTTGTTTATCGCTAAAATTATTGTCACAGGTAAATGCCAAAATTTCTAACCAAGACATTAATTCCAAAGAGCTATTTCGGCCTAGAAAGTCTGTCAGCTACTCTAAATTTATAAAAATGGCTGTCAAACCAGAATTAGAATATGCACGAGATTTTGTACCTCAAATTGATTAGGTTTTTTTCCTAAATGTGGTTGAAATAAGTTGAAAGAAATCTGAAAATATCAGATAAAAAGCAGGCTACATTTAGTCGAAAGTAGCAAATTTCAAACTGCAAAACTGATAAATCCCGTTTTCGATGGCTGTAATTGCATGAATGGAAATCCCCAGAAACGTGACGTCAGAGCAGTATTTTCCCACAAGTGTCTTCCGTACATAAACAGTAATTGCGTTTATATTTCGATAACTTTTGAATCAGATTATTTGCATATATTGAGATCGATATCAAAGTATTGTAATACAATCGCTAGTAATATATTTAACTGAAAAAATAATCCAAAATCGCAGATTGAAAGTATTTAAACACTGTTCAGGGAATCTAACATTGTGCGGTAAAATAGACATTCAGCAGCAAAACTGAACGAAGACCCACGACTAAACACATCGTAATGTCTGAACATCGCATGTGAAATTGGATGTTTGACAACAAAATTGAACACCTTGCGTAATTGGACATCATGACTAATTTTAATCATGGTTCGGTAAATTGAACGTTCAAACTTATTATTGAACAGTCGTGATAATTAAGCGGGACACTCATTATTAAACACGTGTCGACAAACTAAACACTAGTTAATTAGACGCTTGGTAATCAAAATTAAACACTGAGATTTAAATTGGATACAAGTACAAATTGAACACTATTAGCCGAAATTCAACTATAGTTATGAATATTTGAACACAGCACAGAAATTAGTGCTAGTTAGGCAAGATTAAGTGATTCTAATTTACCAGTATCACATAAGTGGGTTTAATATGCAAAACAAAAATATTCATAAACAAGTAGATTATTTGACTTGCAGGACTTTCCCCTTCTAAATGTTGAGCAATATGGAAATGATTTGCTGAAACAGGGTCACCGAATCTAAATAATGAATTCTGGTCAAATGTGTATTGCTAACAAATATGATCTTATAAATGTATAAATATAACAGATAGGCAAAACTGATAAGACAGGTTTATTCAGACAAACTGATACACAAGTTTATCCAGACACTGTTGCAGCTCTTAGTTGGGAAACATATCACCCAAACTGACTGTTTTTATATGCCCACATTTTCATGTGGACGTATATTGTCTTCGCCCCTGTCCGTCCACCTGTCCGTCCATCCACAATTTGTTTGTGGACACTCTACAGGTCACAATTTTTATTTGATTTTGACAAAACTTAAAATATAGACCTATCTCCCAAAGATCTTGTTTCCTTTCGATATTGGCATATATTGGACCATAATTTCATGAACTATGGCCCCTGATTGCCCGAAAAATCACGTTTTTAGCTTGTGGACTCTCTAGAGGTCACAACTTTGATCTGATTTTGATGAAACTTGAAATGCATGTTTATAGTCCAAAGATCTTGGTTCCTGTCGATATTCACGCATATCGGATCGTAACTTCCTCAATTATGGCCCTTGATTGCATAAGAGAAGTCACTTTTTGTGTTAGCTTGTTCTCTATCCATCTCTTGCAAAATTTGGGCGTCTCCTGCCTGGTAGCTGCTGGTTATTTCTTGTGAAGTAATTATTACACAAGTTGTCAACTGGCCAGTATAAGAATTAAAAAGATTACAACATGTAATCAGTAGTATATAATGTGGTTTACAATTGCTTGTGGACGCTCAAGAGGCTAAAGTTTTTACCTGATTGGTTGACTTTACATTTATACATAGTGTTTATGGTCATGAGACAAAGAATCTGATTGATTTTGAGCGATTTGTGATGCCTGTTATCTAAATTACTAATTAGACATTAAATTATCCAGACCATAATCAACTTTCGATGTCATCGCTAGCTTGGATCAATTTGACTGAAATTTTCAGCAAATTCCCTTTACATTATCTAGTTTTTAATTATTATAGTGAGAACTGCCAGCACTTTATTTAATCTTCCATAATGTCCCTTTAACTAGTGGTATTATTATCCATTAGCCATTAAAATTAAGAATAGTAATTCCAGCATCGACAAATACATCGAAAATGGGTAAATCACATCCCAGATACATTGAAAATAGGTAAATCACATCCCAGGTAATGTATCATCTGTAAATCAGAAATGGGTTAACATAGCCTTCCACCCTTGACCGAATTTAATGAGTAACACAATACATCGAAAAGTCATAAATCACATCCAAGGAAATATTTAAATCAGAAACATTATTGACAACTCTTCATCTCTTGATCGCATTCAAGTACATGTCACCAGAAGTCAACCTCACAGACTATTAACATTTATGTTTCTTTATCATCGTTTCCCTTAAAAGTAATATATGTTTTACAAAAAAATAAGCTGTTGAATTTTTTTAAAAATGATCTAAACAAAAGTAAATATTTACACAACATGCACTGTTTTTACAAATCTTTTAAAAAAAATAAAAAATAAAAAAATAAAAAATTAAACGATAATCCGTAAGCTACACGTTGACATGCATTCCTCGACAAGCTTGCTATAGATAGCAGTACCAATCGATAAATTAGTGCATACAAAGAAATCTCTTCTCAGAAAATATTAGAATTGGCATCGATCAAAGTGGGATAATTGAGGCTGATTGACCGATAATCCCGATGTTATTGTAGTATGTGAAAACAATCTCAGAAACTTTGCTGGATGAATGGACGTACATGTGGCAGTGTGATAATTTTGTGATATTTTCACACTGGCGCCAAACAGTCGCAACTGTTAATCGCCCATTTTCAGACAGGGCTATCGGAATTAAGTCTTAATGGGTTCAGACAATATCAGCAGGAAATATGTTTCAATGATTACTGCCTTGATGACCTAGATGTTACGTAACCACTTGATTGAGAGCAATAAAATATTGACTGCAGAGCAATGATTTTCGTACATTTATCGCTATCGCTATATGTTAAAAAAGATAATGTGTGTTGAGGAGGTAAAAACGAGGATTGAGCATCAACACAAAATCTACATTCCCGAAACCAAAATGGATTTATAATAAAGCAGAACAAAGAAATTTATATTTAGCTATGATTTAATAAAAGAAAGCAAATTGTATGTATTTATAATTACATGTATATGAAACATTTAAATCATATACCACAACCACAGTCTGTTAAGATTGTTAATAAAAATCTGTTTGTTTAAAAATCTTTCACTCAATCAAAATGTGATTTACTGTCAAGAACTTGACATTGCTCAACATTCGGGTTGAGGTACTGACTTCAAAATAAAAAAAAAAGACGTATGACCAAGGCAAGAGCTGCACAAAACAATTAGATCGTTATTTGAAACGTCTAATTATGAAGGCATATGAATATTAATAATGTAATAATAAATAATGGCATCGCTTGTATTCTTATATTGTCTATTTTATTTCTTTGTTTAAACATTACAATATAATGGCTAGGGCTGTTGTTTTCGTGTTTGTTACTTACCATCTTTGTTGAAACTGAAAATCCACACTGGAATAATGGGGCTTGAAAATGAAACCAAACTTTGACTTTCTAAACTGTTTTTTTATTTGTAGATTGCGCCTCCAGAATCATTTCAAGAAGTTTATGAAGCTATTTCACAATCACCAGCAAAAGCCTATTTCCTGGGAGTGTTGGCAGCTGTAGTAGCCATTATATTTATTGTGGGTATTTCATGTGGAAGAGTAACCAAACGTTTGAAAGCTGAATTGAAGAATAGATAGATGAAAAGAAATAAAGAATGATTGAGGGAATAAATGAAATATCTGTAGGCCTACAATGTTTTATGTATGAGAACAAAAGCTGAATGATTGAACTCTATTTTTAGACTGTATTGTTTCGTATTTACCAGTGTTTTTCTATTTTATTTTGAATGGGTTGAATGCAGTTTGTTTTAAACTTTTTCCTTTGTTTCTGCAAATATCTGTAAATGTAATTTGATTTTGGAGTTCAATTATTTTTATTTTCCATTCCAGAAATAAGTTTATAAGACCACTAAGCATTTACATCTAGATTTGATAATATACTAGGCCGAGGTTAACATGTATTTTTGAATAAGTAAAGTATATTTAAATTATGTTCTTTTAGTATACTCAAACAGATGACTGTTAATTATACACTTAATAAAGTGTAGTTAAAATTTATGATAAATCATGACATATTAGCATAGATTACTGCTACTTAAAATACTTGTTAAATTAGGTTAGTCTCTAACTCAATATCATCCATTGATTACTCGAATTATTTGTCAATTCAAATCAACATTGATGTTGTGATCTTACCAGAAAAAAATGGACTTCTGATATCCAATATTTAAGACAAAATAAACATTTTACCATTGGTACATGAATAGTGTACCATAATGCATTTCAGCGCCATTTATAATGAGGGGCTCGAAGAATTGGGCTAGACATATCACAAGTCATGTCAAACAGTGACGTCATATTCTTATCTGGAAAGCATGTGCAATAAATATTATTGGTGTAGACTGGAATAACCAGACGCTAGAGATTGACATTTGATTGAGACTTCTGGCATATTTCGCTGAACATAACTGATTAGAAATTAAGGCAAAAACAGAAAATATTCAATGTAAATCAGTTTATATACATTCATATTACATTATTATATGCGTTGCGACCCATTTGTGTCAATTTCTAGGTACCAAATATTAGCGATTTTCATTTAGCTCCTTTAACATAGAGATGGTTTAGCATACAGCCATTTTAGAAGTTGTGTTCTGTATTTCATTGTTCAAGACTATTATGCAATTTACTGAATGGAAAAGTAAACAATTTTTTGCCAAATTATAAAAGATACCCAATGGTATATTAATAATACTTATAAAAAATTAAATTCATTAATTTGTGTATTTATGGAATGATCATTATTGAGATATTTAACTTTTTTCTTTTTCTTTTTTTTATTATTAACCCTTATTTTAATCAGATATTTTGCAAATGTCTTAAATTATTTGCAATCACAGATGAATAACAAACTTGTCAAATTTGTGATATTTATTTTGTCTAGTGAACCTTTTTAGTATTAGAGTCAAAATTCTGATGTGACTAAGTGGTTTCAGTTTAGTAATAATCTGGACGCATTAATGAACATTTATAAAAATAAACACAACAGTTCTATGAATAGCAATTACTGTATTTCTATATGTACCATCTAAACATTCAATGAAACCATTTAATTAGGACAGTATCAGTATTGTGCTTGATAACGACAAGAGAATCATTGTTGAAACGTAGCTTTAATAGAAATACAGTAATTGTTACTGTTGTGTTTATTTTAAGGTGTTCAATTACTAAATGCCATTCAAACAGTATAACATTTATAAAATGTTGATTGCCATATTAAGACTATATATTTTCTGTTGCTTGAGCACCAGATAAACATGGTCTTACTTGCGCATGAAGTCATAGATTTTAGTTATTACGGATATACATACTAATATTTTTTTAATCTAACAGATCAATGAGCAATACTGAGCAAATTGTAAGGTTGGCCAATATCAATTTATTTGACTGTATGATGTCAACTATTGAATTCATAATAAAACAATATGGCTATATGTATATTCATATTATGGATAATGGAAGCCTTAAGTATTATAGCTAACTCATTTATGTTTTATTTTCTCTTGTGTTTAAATTGTTTGTTATAGTTTGTTTATTGAATGAATTGTAAATTGTATTGATAAAAATTTGAAATATTATTATGATTTCACAAAGTAACTGCGCTAGGAAACATTTTTTTTTAAATACCACTGATTACTTACAGAATATTTTGTGAATTTATTTTATATGTGTATAAAAAATATATCCTGTTAATATAATGGTTATAAAATACATTCTTATAATCAATGTTTGAAACCCAAATTATGCTCAATTTTGTGTTTCTGTGTAAATATGATATAAACTAATATGAACAGTAAGTAAAGTCCTACTTAGTCTGAAGAAACTTCACGATGGTGTATTTTTGATCAATGATATATTTTTACAAGTTATTTCATTGGTGTGTTGTAACATGTTATTGATTATTTGACTTCCTTCTTAAAGTCATTATAAGTGAAGATAAATATGGTTTTGGTTACCGTACATAAAAATGGGCATGTTCATTAACAAATCAATAGTTTTTATAGGTATTTATGTAGGTAAACATCAATGGTGAATTTATTTTATTAGACAACTGGGTATTTCGAAATAGTTATTTCTTCATACATCATTCTGTCACGGATTAAAAGGTTTTCGGAATAAAAGTGGAGATGTTAAATTAGAGTAGAATTAATATTTTTCTGTAGATCAATAAAAATAATTTATCCTTGATTTTATTATTATTGGTTGTTATAATAAAAAGGATTTCATGAATGTATATACTGAGAATTCACATTGTAAATACTATGTTTGCCTACATGTACAGTTGTGCTTTCATTATATAGTTGCCATTTATTTATTTATTATAAAAAAAATAGTGACATTATTTTATACAATATTGGTTACCCTATGGAAGTGAAAATTTGATAAATACAATTCATCTACTTTAACTAATATCTGGAAAATTAATTAAAATTTGTTTTTATTATGAATTATACTAAAACCATCACAAAATGTATGAAAAATTTTGATTATCTGGTAATTAAACATATAGACAATAAAACACCGAATTGTGGTGGTAATTCATTAACTATGATATTTTGCACAAACACATATCATATCCAATATTTTCTATGTATTGATTCCTGTGTTATGATTGTTTGTGCAGATAAGGGTAGAGTTGGTGCTACATAGAATACTGTTTATTTTATTTGATGATCTGAATCCCTTGACCGGGTCATTATAAAGGAATCTTGAGTTGCGCCTAATTAGACTTAACTTTCTATCAATCTAATAATTACAATTAAATATATAAGCGTTTTAAGATATTTTATAATATCATTATTGATGTAATAAACCATGTGTAGTGTTCATACATATATCCAATACAGTTAAATTTTTATAAGTCAAGATAATATATTTGATAATTGTAATAATCAGTGCAAAAAAATGATATTATTCGTAAGAAAGTGCAAAAAAATGATATACATATTATTTGTAAGAAAGTATGTAGATTAATGTACTTCTCTGGTTCATTTACACTGATTTACCCATATGTCAACTTGTCTAGCAGTCTAAATTAAAAAGGGTTTGATTAAATTTCAACAAGAAGTCAATTGGTTTACTAATTTTAGATTCCCCTTATGGAAAATCCTGGCACTGCCACTGGATGAGCTAACTTTTGGACTAGTCGATATATTAACTTGCATTCAAGATGTAAATGAATATTAAGTTTCTTACTGAACACATTTAATGCCATGTATATATAGTTGCTTATATAACATATCTATCTGCCCTTACACATGTGTATATCGCTTACTGATAGTCATCTTAAACAACTATTGTATTTTTTTGAACAGATGTTACTTAATACCCTGACTAAATTAAAAAAAAAAAAAAAAAAAATCTGTTTCTTTTTATTCCTTGTGGGAATCACATAGCAGGTATCATGGGGTCCATATGGACCCCAGTTAGTTATAATTCAAGTTTTTACATACAGATATATTTGAATAAAAGGCAGCGGTTTGGTTTTTATTTGCATTCATATTTGACATCTGAAAAACAACTAAATTATTTTAGTGGCATATGGAAAATATTTAATAATTCTCACCAAGTTGCTACTTTGTGGACTATGTGATAAAGAGGTTAAATGGCAATTCACGTTTGATATAAAAACCATTGAATATTTGGAATTTATCATTTAATTTTTGGTATTTGTAACATGCAGATGCTAAAAGAGAGAATACTCTGGCATACGCAATATGGTATCAGGCAGTAAACACATTAGCAAAATCCCTACTGTGAGTTATACAAGTTAGGGGTCTGGTTGGACCCCTTGTTCCCTTCAAGCGTTGGGCCTGATTTGCATATAACATAACTCTGCATGTGGGAAGCAGATGGATACCAATCTCTTTGCTAGGTGTAAAAATGTATAGGAGACAAGTCACTAAATTTCAGAAAGTTGTACCCAGTAGTTATTACAAAACACTATAAAACAGATGGGGTCCACGGAGACCCCACGTGCACCGACAAGGGTTAATACACCTAATCATTTTAATGCGGTCATGTATTGTTGTCATCCCTGTTTCTCCAAATTTTAGTAGATACTTCAATTTTGATTGGCTAAGCACTAAAATCAACCTAATATTATCCAATCAAATTACTAAAATTTGGATTTTATCTTAGTTAAAATTTTGTGAAACCGGCCCCTGTCCATTTCCACACAAGTGTGTATGTTACGGTCAGTATGACTAATCTCTTGCAATCACTCTACATGTTAGATCTATTTTGTTACTGGGCCTGTTCAGAGTTTCAAAAATTTCTTTCAAGAATTTTATTGGGTGTCTTTCACAAGATTCCATAAACGATAGGATAACTTAGATTTGCGACTGAAAATCTCATGGGGTTCCTCTAACATTCTGAATTTTATAGATCATACTATCAAGAACTGGATTCACAAGCTTTAAAATCGGAAATATAATTCAGAAGTACATAGTTTGGTGAACTTTCATAACAATCCAACTGAGTTTTAAAAAAATTCCATCAAGAACTTCACCATCAAATGAACAATGAAATGAGGTAACGTCCTAGTTTTCTGCACCAACATGGCTATTGAAGACGGACACACTTAATGCAATTTGCTTTTAGGGAAATTCTGCCCGAACAGCAGGATTTCCGAATACTCATGGTGGAGTTTTGTTCTTAATGATTGGAGAGCTAGTATTGTGGTTGTGTTGGAGGCCCCGGTCTTTTGTTGAAATTTAAAGTTCAGCCAATACTTGTGGAAAATGTGTTTTCAGTAGATTAGTGCTTGGATATTAGATATATTTTAAAGATATAACATTTAAAGATATTTATTTTGTCACTAAAAGTGGAAGAAGAGATGAATGGGGAGCTAAAATCACAAATTTGAATTTCTATAAAATCTAAAGAACAATTAAACTAAATACATGATTTTTCCTAGAATCGGGGGTCATTAATCCAGGAACCAAGCTTTTGGGGATATAAACCTATATTTATCAAGTTTCATCAAAATCAGATAAAAAAAAAAATGAACGGACAGGGGCGACGGCATAATATGTCCACATGAAAATGTGGGCGTATAAAAAAAAAAGCTCTTTATATTTATTGAATATATGTAATTAAAAAGAACAAACAAGTAAAACAATTTTATTGTGTACACATTGTATAAAGATATATACAATACAATGTTATAAATCAAACTGGTCATCTTGAACAACAGTAATATTTCACCTTTCTGATAAACAAAAGACTAGAAAGTACTATCCATATATAAGAGTATACTGTAGTAAGTCATACACAAGAAAAGGTAAATTTTTACTATCTACTTATGCCAAGAGTTCAAATATGGATTTAAATGTTTTCCCACTGATGACTATTTTGCATACACCGGTCAAAGAGCTGTTTCTCGAGTTCTATGACCTTCTGACCTTACTTCCACTATATTTCCATCCAGTGTTAAAGAAAAAATAGAAGTAGGAGTCCGTGATTTTTCTCGATGTATTTCTACTGCACAGGTTATCTGATTTTCTGGAGGGATTTCATGGGTTTCAGCCACAGTTAATTTTTTCAAATTTTGGTCATTGTTTTCGGCAACATTTGCATTTGCATCACTTATTTGTTCTGGTACACTAGCAAGAGAGGAGGCACTTGTCTTACGAGAGTCTGATAAAGAAATCCTAGGCGTTTTGGTACCCACATCAACTGGCTGAACCTCTATAACAGATATCTTTCGTTTTGGCGTCAATTTTCTAAGACTGCTATCACTAGTCTTTCTTTTCGGACTATCGTTATTTACTGATCCTTTCTCACTTTTAATGCTAGGTGATCGTGACGGTGTGTCCACACTACTTTCACGCGAAATAACTGGGCTTGAAGAATTTTCTTTGGTTGCACTACTTGGTGGGCGCGAGTTAACACTGCCCTGACTACTAACACTTTTTACACTACTAACACTACTACAACGTGAGTTACTTTCTGCATTACTACTAGCTCGACTAACTGATACGGGAGAGGTATTTTCGGAGGATATTGGTGTCGGAAGTTGTATATTGAGAGTGGGAAGATGACGGATCATACCACCTTTCTGTCCATCTGACTCAGTATCTGAACCAACAGAATTTTTCTTAACAACTTGTAAAGTATCATTTATATTAAAGGAATCTTTACTATCTTGATTACTGAGTGTATTATCTGTACATTGACTGTTACTTCTTTTCATGTTTGGTATTCCTGTCAAGTAAATAAATAAAATAATGAAATGAAATGAGGTTTAACAAAGTCCATGGTTTAATAACCTACTTATCTGTATGGACTGAGTTAAGAAAGACAGGCTTATGGCATGCACCAGTATGCCACGAGGGGGGAGAAATTTTTCATGGACAGCAGCAGCGCTAAGACCTACTCTTATTTCCAATTCCAGCTGTCAAGGTTTTTTTTTACCTACACTCCATTGTGTAAACAGGACCTAAGTTTTCTGTATCAATCTGAACCACTGTCCTGCACCACTGACAACCACACTGGTAAATAATCCTTTCGTGGCATTTAGCAATTGGAAACATAACAAAACTGACACAGTTATATCTCTTCTAATCATTAGTAATAAGTATGGTTTTACATTGTACATATATATAGACCCTCAAGTTTACTAAATGTCATTGTGCTTGATAATGATAAGAGAATACTTATCGAAACGTTGTGCTTGTGTATAATAAACCAGTGATTGTTGTCCCATATAACTGTGTCAGTTTTGATACTGGTAAATCCCAAGGAATTTTCTCAGGCCAACATCTGGAGTGAACAGAGAGCTCCATGTTAGTGAGCCAGTGCCTTACTAAAGTAGGATACTGGTTATACAAGTGCATTCAAAAATTTGACTACTGATTATCAAATCTGCATATAACTTCTACATGCAACCACAGGGGTGGAATGGAAATATTTGAATTCTAAATAACTTATTGTTTGTCCTATTTTTGTGACCAAATATAGACTTTTAAACATACATTATGCAAGAGCTAAATCTGATTATTGCAAGTCTTTATTTAGGCTTCAGATGTCATAGATATTATAAATTAGGTCTTTATTTACACAACAAGCACAAAATCAACTCTGTAGACCCACGGATGACTTGGATTTAAACAAGATTTCATTGATTGATTAAATTTTTAAATGGCGTCATAAGCGGAGATTAACCGTTACGTTGACGTCATACTTCCGAGGCTAAATGATAGAGTGTACGAAGCGAGGCCGCTGTTGAGCGCGGACGCATGTCAGTCAATTTGATTGAAAGTTGATGTATACAGCATTGATATTATGTTTAGTTGTGGTATTATACGCTCTTTTGTCACTTGCGTTTACAGAAAATTTATGGAAATTGATAAACATCGCAGGCTAACATCACCCCTGTTGAATTGCAGCCCCATTTTATCACTATTTCCTATTTGTCTGCTTCGGGAGTTACGTAGGCCTACCAGTTACAGTACAAGAGTACACGCAGGCTAACAAGAAGTCGGTTATAATTATGCCTCATTGATTTGGCCCATTCCTTTCAAACTTTCGCTTCTTATCTATATATTAAAAGTCTTATTTTTAATATGTAGTAAAAATAAATGTGATACGAATTGAATTGCAACCCCGTCTCAAACCGAATAGGCTAACGGTACCACAGCCATTGAAAACGTTACTTGATAATCAAGATTATGTAGGTGGAGTTAACGCCTGTCAATCAAATGATCGGCCATTCACGGAGAGACGGTGAAGAGAGAGTTGACTCCTATTTCTAGTCAAAAATTACAATGGTGATAACTTTGTTCAGAATACAGTAATTTGACTGAAATTTTCAATATATTCTTCTTTTATCATCTATTTTTGAATTGTCATAGCAAGAATGGCCAACACTCTATTAAAATCTCCCATAATGTATCTTTAAACAAATTCTGGCTCTAAATAGAAACAAAATTAATTGGGTGTCAGTGATATACCCATTTACCAAATGATTTTAAATTGAAGGTATTAAAATCTACTGATCAGACTCATTATTATGGAAATGGGAGTTGAAGACTTCCTCAAAATTTTGTTCTCTTACCCGAATCTTGACTTTCTTCACTACTGTTAGCCTTATCTATTTCCTCTCTATTTAATAAATCTGCTTCTTCTATATTTCTTTCTATTTGTTCTATAACTAATAACTCATCTTCTTCATCATCTTTTAAACTATCACAATCTTTATCATCATTAGGTATATCAGATAATGATAACTACAACATAATAAAAATGAAATGAAATGAACTGGGCTAATGAAGACGGGCATATGCCATACAGTGTGCTATGAGGTAAATCTGGCACTACGGCCTACTCTTATATCGAATTCCAACTGTCAAGGGATCTTTTACGTGCACGCCAATGTGTACTCGGTTTTTCGTCTCATCCGAATGACTAGACAGCTGTCCTTGTTAGGCCCTCTGTCCTGCATCACTGACATTGGCCGTCCTGCATCACTGACAAGGGGGAACCACCAAAATAACAGAACATCATCTTTTAAACTATTATAATCTTTATCATCATTACCAGATAATGGAATAAAACATAAATGCCATTAATACCTACACTAAACTATTTATATATTGGTATGTATGAAACCTTTAAATGCAATGAAATGAAATGGGTTTTTTACACCAACCCGTTTTTTTTTTTTGTCCTGTTGCCAGGACCTCTATCCTCTATGGAGGATCAAACTGCATTTGTAATGTTGAAAACTACAAAAGCTTGAAAGCTTTAAATGTTGATTCTTTGCAAAGTCATGTTCCAGACTTCATTGATGTAGCTACAGATTTAACAAATTAAGTATGAATTTTGATGTTGGATTTCTTTTCAACTTATTAAATACAAATTCATATACAGATTTAGTTTTAAAAAAGAGAACTAACCTCTGAACCAAATTCGAAAGCTTTATTATGATTACACTGTGAATTAGCTCGACCTAAAGATGAAGATGTGCGACTGGCATTAGCTGAATCAGGGGATAAATTTTCTCTCTGACTATTTATACTCTTAAGAGAGGTACCAAGTTGTTTTACGACATTAGAATCAGGATCCATAACCTAAAAATACATATATCATTCAAAATATTACATGAATTAATCTATAACAGCTTGAAATAGCATCGTTATAGTTTTCATGAATATAATGCAAAATAAACAGTAAATAATCTGTCTACGATAAGTTACAAATACCTGTCTAATAGGAATAAATGATTGGATTCTGTCAAATTCTTAATCAAATTTACCTTTATGACTGTTTTAAGTAATTTAGGAGTACCAGCTGGTGTATGTATGATTTCTTCCGCTTCCATTTTGTTACTTCTTCTTTCTCTTGCAGCATTTTCCTTTAATAGCTTCCTACAAAATTCAAAATGCAAAAACTATACAAAAGCCTGATCAGAATTTCACCTCAGTGTGTCTTAAAACACAAACTTTTTACTTTTCTCGAATTTATTGATAATTATTTATATTACTATATTCTACATATAGTAGCCTACTTACTTGGCTCTTTTCTTGAGTAATTTCTGGGCTTCAGGATATTCTCTCATAGCTTCTTCAAAATCAGCTTTAGATAATGTAAATAGATTTGTATAACCTTTACATCTAACATTAGCTGTTCTTCTATTACCACCAGACATAGCCAATAAACTACAGAGAGAGAGGGAGAAAGGGGGTTTAACATCCACTCAACACAAACCAGGTCATTTCGGGACTAACAATCATATGGTTCAATTTTATTTCAATAATTCGCTTGCACGTAAGGGTCTTTAGAAGAATTGAATTGCCCAAGTTTAAAATTAGCAATGTTTTATGTTAATAGGCAGAAATTAACTGTTTGTCAGGTCTCTACCCTTTAAAATTGACCATTGCTAGTTCTGATTCTGACAAATGAAATATTTACTTTAGTATTAATGGCAGCATAGATGGATCAATCCTTTAAGGCACAATATGAATTGTCATAGATACAAGTTAGGCTCACTTCTTATTCTTTATACTATCGGATCACTGCTTGGATTTTTTTTTTCAACCATATAGCATATTTTGATTTTTTAAATTGACTAGTTTTGCCCAGGGTAAACATCTTTGTTCCAGATATTCAAGACCACAAGTGGCTATATAGATTCACTTGAATAATATCAAATTAATTTAAAAATTTGTCATTTCTAGATAATAAATTTCCTCATAGAATTAAACAGTCATATTGGACATATAAATAATGACTAGTCCAGATAAACTTTGTTTTTACCTAATTTCACCAAAAACACTTCCTTCATGTAAAGTAGCTAAAACTGTTTCTCCATCTTCACCTCCCACGACATCTACTTGTCCTTGACTTACAATATACATTTCTTTCCCTACTTCACCCTAAAATGCATTGTAAATTATATTAAACACGCTTTCTTGCTAGCAAATCACTTGAAAATTGACTCTGTATATTGGAATCATTTTTCTAATGTAATACCATCCACTTAGTATTATGATATTAAGTAAGATTATCCACATAAATTGTTGCAGTCTCTCCCAAACAAGGTATTTTTAGTTTCAGATCTTTAAGAGAATGGGAGCCTTTTTATTAATAAAAATTGAACTTTAATAGTCTTATGTTGAATGGTCTTGTGTTAAATGGGAAACGCTAGCTCACTAACCAGGAGAGCCTGGGATTGATCCCAGTGTTGTTTGAGAAGGTCCCTCCGGTTTTTTCGCCGTGGTCCCCTTATCAGGGGTGCTGCTGGTGCAGGACAGAGAGCATATAGTCATTCGGATGAGACATAATAAAGGAGGTCCCATGTACACTTGGTGTGCACGTAAAAGACCCCTTGACAATTGGGATTTGATGAAGAGCAGGCAAAAATGCCGCTTTCGGGCAAAATATTCTTCATAGCAGTTTTCATTAGCTCAGTTTTCATTTATATTAAATGCAAATTACAATCGACTCTAAATGTTATTAATATACATGTGACAACCACTGGACTGTTCCATTTAGCTATATGTAGTGATGGCTGTCATTTACAAAGTTTAGTATACTCTTTTTAAGAACACCTGATACCATTTCTCATTTGTTTGGGAAGTCCAGATAACTAACAACCTACGCTGTATTCTTATCTGCCTATAACAATATCATTTGTCTCTTTAATCTTTTCAAGAGAATAGTGACATTATAGACTGTGGCCAGTTTTAGATATAAGGTTATGTATTCAGTAAAACTGTTATTAATAACTTAATGTTGATGATGTTTTCTGGAAGCTATATTAATATCAGCAGAGTATTATAGTAATTTCTATATATTGATCTAATATAATTACCTTTCTACAGATATAATCCTGAGGTAAAAATAAACAACCTTTCATCTTTAATACTAAATCATATAGTAGATTTTTATCACAATCCTGAAAATAAACAAATAAAGTTAGCTCAATCTATAATTCATAAGATCAAGCTTAATCTATTAACATCTATTTCTCTTGCTTTATGTTTATTTACCAAACTCAAATCAAATATATAGCTTATCTTACTGGATATTGGAGAAACAGGACTATTTAATTAAAAGACAATTTATCTAAATCCCAAAAGAAGAAATTTATCTGTTGTTTTTTTTTAATTTTTGCTAAAAATTATTTGAAAGTGAACCTGATATATATCTTTAGACTGCTCTATCAACTGCTATATGGATGAGATAATTGGATTTAGCATTTATCATTTCCTCAAGAATGATATACTTTAAAATTCTTTGATTTCAAAATGGCAAATTACAATGAATACACACATAAATGAAGAAGAGGATGAAATTACTTTATACAGTTGTGACATGTATTGTGTAAATTTAAGATTTATATTAGTTTCAGCATAACAAACATTTCTATACCATAAACAGACTTATAGTTTTTGTCCTATACACGCATCACCCACACAGTTGACATACTAGCTACTCTGGAATAATATCAAATATGTTCTTAAAATTTCAGCCTTACCTGAAACAACTGTACTTTGCTTAAAGTATTAAAATGGACACTTATAGCCATATCAGCTTGTAATTTCTTTGGTAATGCTTCCAGAAGTGATCTTTCATCTGTAATTATATAATTATGTTCTCCTTTCTAATGATAATGTTAACCAGCGGCTGCCAGGCAGAATACACCCACATTTTGCAAGAGATGAATAGTGAACTTAAGCTAAAAACAAATGCGATTTTTTGTACAATCAGGGGCAATAATCTAGAAAGTTATGCTCTGAAATGGAAGGGACTGAGATCTTTGGGATATAAAGATATGTTTTAAGTTTCATCAATATCAGATAAAAATTGTGACCTCTAGGGGGTCCACAACCTTTGTATTACAAACTTTTACACAATTTGCATACAAACATTGTGACCTCTAGAGAATCTGCAAGCTAAAAATGTGATTTTTCGAACAATCAGGGGCCATAATCTAGGAAGTTTTGTTCGGATATGCATGATTATCAAAAAGAACCAAGAACTTTATGATAAAAACATATATTTAAAGTTTCATCCAAATCGGATAAAAACTGTTGCCTCTAGAGGGTCCACACTCTTGATATACCATATTTTTACACTATTTTCGTACAATTTTTGACCTATTTCTACAAAATTCGAACTCAAACCATCATTAGTGTATAACTGTGATATATTCACACGTTTTTTTTTTTAAATCTGATAAAAATTGTGACCTCTATAGGGACCACAAGCTCAAAACGCATTTTTTCATACAATCAAGAGCCACAATTCTGAAAGTTACGATCCAATATGTGGGAATTCCGAAAGGAACCAAGATCTTTGGGTTATAAACATGCATTTCAAGTTTCATCAAAATCGAATCAAAATTGTGACCTCTAGAGTGTCCCTTGTTTCACTTTGTTCAACCTTGTTAATGCTCGATTGATCAAAGTTATCATCCAATATGTATGAAATTTATATGCATCATTAAAATTTGTGAAACAGAGGTCTATTGAATTTCAGTCAATTATTTCTAGAGTTATGGCCCTTGTTTTACTTTGTGAAGCCTGTGAATGTTTGAATGACAAAAGTGATCCTCCGATCTGTATGAAATTTATGTGCATTATTTAAATTAGTAAAACGAAAAAGCCTGTCAAGTTTCAACAATTTCTGTAAACTACTTCCAAAGTTGCAGCCCTTGTTTCTGTTTGTAAAACCTTGTGAACCCTCAAACGACAAAAAATATAATCTGATCTGTATGGAACTGTCTTGTAAAGGCCCCCAATTACCTACAAAGGAATAAATATGTGACAACCCTTGTCGACCGCTTGGACGATTTAGCTGCTGTGGGCGTATGTTTCGTAGCAACCTATCTTTCGTACAATCAGGGGCCATAATCCATGAAGTTATGGTCCAATACATGCCTATATCGAAAGGAATCGAGATCTTTGGGAGATAGACCTATATTTCAAGTTTCGTTAAAATCGTTTAAAAATTGTGACTTGTAGAGTGTTCACAAACAAATTGTGGACGGACAGACAGACAGACGGATGTCTGGACGGACAGGGGCGTATAAAAAATGTGACCTGTAGAGGGGCCACAACCTTGATATACCACATGTTTACACTATTTGCGTACGAGGGGTAGCCATTTGTCCGGCAGTTTTAGTCCGATTTTCACGGAATTTGAACTCAGTCAACATTATGGTGTAACAGTGATATGTTCAAACGTATTTTTGAATTGGATAATAACTTTGACCTCTAGAGGGACCACAAGCTAAAAACACGATTTTTCATACAATCAGGGGCCATAATTCTGAAAGTTACAATCCGATATGCACGAACATGTATTTCAAGTCTCATCAAAATCGGGTGAAATTTGTGAACTCTAGAGTGTCCAGGTAAAAACATGATTTTTCGTACAATCGGGGACATAATCCATGAAGTTATGGTCCGATACATGGCAATATCGAAAGGAACAGAGATCTTTAGGAGATAGACCTACATTTCAAGTTTCGTCAAAATCGGATAAAAATTGTGGACGTATAGAAAGCAATTTCATAGCATAGAATTAATCAATAGTAAACATCAACCACCTAGCCTTACTAGTGCTAAATTTCAAGCTTCTAGTAATGTTACATTTTCTACTTCCAAGTGTCACAGTCTGAGCAAAGTTATGAATGTTTGTAGTTTTTAGAAGAATAGAGTAGTCTCGATTTTCATTGTTACAATAATAAACAATGTCTTAATTATCCATTTTTAAATTATTAAATGACGATCATGTTTCAATCCATTAAAAATCACAACCATCTGAAAGTCTAGAGAGTTGATTATGGGATGCCATGTGAATAAATGTCTAATTAATAGTTTATATAACATTTGAGGCCAAAAAGACCTGCAATAGGTAGATTTAGCTCTTACACAATTCATCTTTAATGAAGAATGGCATACACCAGAACAGCAATAGAATGTCTTGTTGTAAACAACTAGACGCTGTACCTTGATACACCACTGTGATACACCACTGACAAGGGGGAAACCATGCCAGAAATTCCTGAGGTACTGCCTCGTCCAATACAGGATCGAACCTGGAGCCTTTCGGTTAGCTAGCCAGCACTTTACTTATGGAGCCACTGTGGCCCCTGTGTTAAAAACAAAGATGTTAATAGAGATGCTGTAGGTATGACAGTTAATGACATTTATTGATTAAGAGATCACATTTCTTGTTTCATGACAAAGACATTTAGAGATGTGGTGGTAAAAAATGATGTATCTGAAGACAAAGATATCAAACTGTGATGCCATAATGATATATAATGGTAAATGTTTCATTTATTGATTAAAGATCACATTTCTTTTAAAATCATTTCTTCACGTTGATGCTGACAATCAAGTTGTATTCGCATACAAATTGTTTTAATAAGATTCTTTTAAGTTCTGATACAGACAAGAGTTGTAAAATATGTTATGCTTTGGTGATGTTTTCTTTTTTGTGAATGGTCACAATGACTTGCAACGGTCTAACAAAGCTTATTTATACAGATAGAGAGAGAGAGAAATAGGGTTTAACGTCCACTCGACACAGACTAGGTCATTTCGGTACTAACACATGGTTTAATTTTATCTCAATAATTTGCTTGTGCGTAGGGGTCTTTAGCAGTGGGAGGAAACCGGAGGACCAGAGAAAACCCATGAAGTTGGACAGGCAACCCTACTCTTTGTCACGTACTACCGGGGATTCGAAACCACACCACGACAGGCCTTATGATACAGCGCGCATGTGCTAACCATTCGGCCATCCAGCCCCCCATTATTTATACAGACTTGAATTGGTGACATCCCTGGGGTAAATATGTGTCAAAAAAATCATTACAGTTTACTGGGAGCATTTTTATCTAAACCATTCTGTTCACATTGACAAAATCACAAGATCCTTTTAAAAAATTACTAAAATTTTATCTATTTCAAAAGACTTTCCCAAATTAATTAAAGATGCATTGTGTAAGAGCTAAATCTGCCAATTTAACAAGCGGTTGCCATGCAAGATACGTTCACATTTTGCAACAGATAGACAGAGAACAAGCTCATCTACAGGAACCTAGGTCTTCAGGATAAAAACATATTTTAAGTTTCATCAAAATCTGATGAAAATTGTGACTTCTAGAGGGTCCACAAACTTGCTATTACATACTTTTACACTATTTACGTACAAGGAGCGGCCATATTGTCAGGCAGTTTCAGTCTGATTTTCACGAAATTCGAACTCAACCGCCATAAGGGTGTAACGGTGATGCATTTAAACATTTTTTACAATTGGATAAAAATTGTGACCTCTAGAGGGACCACAAGCTAAAATTACAATCCAATAATAAACATGTATTTCAAGTTTCATCAAAATCGGATCAAAATTGTGACCTCAAGAGAGCCCACAACCTTGATATACCATATTTTTACACTATTTGCATACAAGGGGCAGCTATACGGTGTATCAGAGATATATTTGAACGTTTTTGTAAATCAGATAAAAATTGTGACCTCTAGAGGCACCACAAGCTAAAAGTGCAATATTTCGTACAATCTTGGGCCATAATCCAGGAAGTTTTGATCCGATACGCGCAAATATCGACAGGAACCAAGATCTTTTGGTTATAAACATACATTTCAAGTTTCATCAAAATAAGATAAAAATTGTGACCTCTAGAGTGTCCACAATCTAAAAACGTGATTTTTCGTATAATCAGGGGCCATAATCCATGAAGTTTCGATTCGATATGCGCGAATATCGAAAGGAACCAAGATCTTTGGGTTATAAACATACATTTCAAGTTTCATTACAACTAGATGAAAATTGTGACCTCTAGAGTGCCCACAATCTAAAAACGTGATTTTTCATACAATCAGAGACTATAATCCATGAAGCTATGGTCCGATAAATGCCAATATCGCAAAGGAACCAAGATCTTTGGGAGACAGACCTATATTTCAAGTTTTTTCAAAATCGGATAAAAATTGTGACCTGTAGAGTGTCCACAAACAAATTGTAGACGGACGTCCATCCAGACAGGGGCGATGGCATAATACGTCCACATGAAAATGTGGGCGTATAAAAATGCATAATTAAGACGTTGTTTATTATTGTAATAATGGTAGCAATGAAAATCGAGATTACGCTACTCTTATGAAAACTACAAACATTCATAACTTTGCTCAGAATAAAGTAATTTGACTGAAATTTTCATTAAATTCTGTTTTCACTATCTATTTTTAAAAATTATTATAGAACTAGGAGCTTTTTTTTTTTATCTAAATCTTCCATAAAGCATATTTAATCATTAGTATACTTATGTATATACTAAATGATATATTTAATTTATTGTACAGCACCATTGAATGAATCTATTGTAGAAATGAGCACTATAATAAATGTTACTACTGTCTGAACCATGATAAATTTTAAACAGATTTCTTCGACTGATGAGCATATAAAAAAAAGCCCCATTTTTAGGGTGTGGTCGAACATACATGTACTTTAGAGCGATCTGACATACGAAAAGCCCCCAAATTTTTGGCTAGATATTTGAAAATTTTATTTGAAAATTGTATTTACCAAGTGTGGATCTTTGTTTCTGGTAAGTTTCAGCCATGTAACTGATGACCATATTATTAGCCCCATGAGGCGATACTGGGCATGGTCTAACTTGGGGAAAGCCCCAGAAATTTTGGTTACATTTGTGAAATATTTACTCCAACTATGGATACCATTGTCCCTAGAAAGTTTCAGCCATGCAACTTATGACCTAATTTTAGGCCCCCTGGGGGCTACTTTAAGGTGTTGCTGCAACAAACCTTTTGTAACTGATGACCATATTATTTTGTTATTAGCTCCTGGACTATTAACTTTGGTTATTATAAACTTACCTGTGTGTTTGAAATCACCTCCCGTTAAATAAAATCCATTCTACAATTAAATATTCCCACAAATAAAAAGGTTCTCTCTTGAAAATTTGACGTATTTATGTGTATTTTTGACTGAGTTCAAGACAACATATAGCTTTCGTCACATGTTGGACGAAACCAGTGAAGCTGGTGCGGGGGGTGGTTTAACTTTGACAGATATTTTGACAAGCACACGTTGCAGTCAAAACAAAGTGACATCATTTCGATCGTTTGAGTTTTGGCAACGAAAAATATCAACTGAAGACAATTACAAGTTTTTGAGTGTATTGTCAAATTGATATCATTCTTTCAATCAAATAATAACCGTTTAATGACTTCTATAAGTGCGTTGTGGCAGCCCTGAAAGTGCCTTTTGGGTGGATTTATAATGCTAAAAAAAACGTAAGACCTCGTAAGAAGCGCACCATCACTTCCAAATTCTAAGTTATATAACATATTATAGATATTCATGTGTAAAATTTAAGCCTGTAAAACGAATGTCATTGTTTTTGTGCCGCATTTGTGTTCAAAAGAAAATTCATCCACCCGACTCTCTAATCACAAATATGATTAAAACAAAATATTTCAAAAGGTTAAGCTATAAACTTTGTAGAGATTTTACTAGAATATAAAAGACGGTAACAAGATAAAGGAATATGGGCAGTTATGTGTGTGAACGCCCAAACTCAATACCGAGCCGAGACTTATAGCTTATTCTTATACAAAACTTTAATTGTCGTAAAATTACCGCAAACCATGGCATGCTGTAACCCCTTTATACGAAATGATCTCTCCTGAAGAATGACGTAATCAACTTCCATTTTAGTATTTTTCGATGTCGGAAGTTTGTGGGAATTCAATTTTACAAGAGATAACTTTTTTATTCGTTGGGATATTAATTTGTGCAATGGATTTCATTTAACGGGAGGTGATTTCAAACACACAGGTAAGTTTATAATAACTAAAGTTAAGTAGTTTGTTCATAATAGAAGAAATCTGTTTAAAATTTACGATGGTTCAGACAGTAACTTAAACTTAACAAACATATTTTTTTCTGCACTATTGTAACTCATTGTGAACACAGTCTTAAAGCAAGCCACGCAAATGTCACTTGGCTTCACTGACACTTGTTTAACTTGTCTCTATCGGTTGAATAAATAGTAGGGGCCTACACATAAAAGAGCATTATGTAACACAATAGAATCTATAACTTTTAGCTTTTCTGAAGTGATCATAAGTTAATAATGTCCAATTCACCAAACCCAATATTTTAAATGGTGAAATTCTGAATTTTAATATTTACAATTGAAAAGGTCACAAACCTAATGTTTTTTGCTGTTCCCAATTATAAAGAAACCATTCTCGAACCCTGTCTTGTATAGTTTTAGGCAAATTTATTGAGCTCATGTACCAAGAAACAGCATCCATTTTCTTTTGATACTTATCTTTCACATGACCTGCTGCCTCTACTATATCACGAATCTGAAAATTTCAGTGTGACATGATTTCTAATCATTAAAAACATATAAAAGTTACATATACCAATTTTAATAAATATATGCTCACAGCAGCTTATCAAAGGACCTTAATTATCTGTGGTACTTCATAGGTGAAAGGTATCCTAATATGGAAGATAAATACAGTTCCAATAGTGACTTTCAGGGCCATTCCTTGTTTGTTTGACTCAAATTTTCAAATAGAGCTCAATTCATTCATTATTCCCATTTTTTCATACATATTGTCAGGTAAAAGTGTCATATTTGTGTAATGTAATGTAATTAATTTTGCAAAATATAAGTTCACCACTGCCAATCTGGGCCTGTAACCATGACATGATCTATCTATGCACCCAATGACGATACCAAACACTGCTAAAACTCTTCCTGAATTTAAATTTAAAGAATAAAATAAGTGAATATACACAAAGAACAAAAGAATTTCTACCTGTCCTATTAACAAAGCGAAAACAAACACACCGGATAACCAATATAATGTCATGAACAGATATTCTAATTCATTAGTTGGTTTGGGATTATTGCCAATAGATGTTGCTGTTTTAGTAGCCAGATAAAAACATCTTATATATCTGAAATATACCAAACAAATATGCCATTTTATAATATGTAATATACTGTTTTATAGTATGTAATATAATGTTTTATCAAATGTAATTATACAGTTTTATAACATGTAATATACCATTTTATAATACATATATATTTTTATATTTAATTATACTGTTTTATAGTATGTAATCATACTGTTTTATAATATGTAATATACTGTTTTATAATATGTAATTATACTGTTTTATAGTACATTATTATACAGTTTTATAGTATGTTATTATATAGTTTTATAATATATAATATACTGTTTTATAATTACCGGTATAATGTTTGATAGTATGGTATTATACAGTTTTATAATATGTAATATACTGTTTTATAATAAGAAATAAGTAATATACTGGTACTGTTTTATAATTTCTGACAAAGTCTTCAAATACAGAAATACAATGAAAATACCATATTATAATATATAATATTTCGTTAAATTTAGGGAGAGGGGTTTTACATAGGCTAAGCCTGTTCCCCAATCCCATTCATACATCCTGAATAAAATATTGTTTATTAAAAAAAATATACCGTTTTATAATATGTCATTATACCATTTTATAATAAGTAATATACTGTATTATAATTTCTGACAAAGTCTTCAAATACAGAAATACATGAAAATTTGTTAGGCCTGTAAACTCCGAGAGGTTAGTTATATCAGGTGTTGTAAAAACAATGAAAATACTTTGCTTGATACATGACACCGATCATCATAAATCAGCCAAATTCAGAATAGTTCCGATCTGGTTTTTAGAAGCTGGATCTACTGTATAAGACCAACAGATAATAGCTAATCAACAGAATTCAAATTTATATACTTTAAACATATACAAACAAGCCAACAGTGAGGCTGATGTCCTCCGCCGAAATCCCCAAATAAATAGATGACACATATTAATTAATAGCACATTTATTTTTTTCAAAAGTATCAAGCAATCAAACTGATTATCAACCATACACTAAGTTTAAAAATTCATCCCTCTCTATCAGATAGAATCAAAGTTATCTTGTCCCAAAGGATCAACCAATCAAATTGCTTAGCTTTAGCTCGAAATGTTAATCATTGAACTCAGTCAAGACATTCACCTAATGTACATTCTACCTCAATTAAAAGCAGAGTTGTTATGTTCCAAAGTCTTGACCAATCAAATTGCTTATCGCTCCTTAGTTTAAGCAGAAAATTCTCATCATCGAACTTAGTCAAGGTAATGATATAATGAATCTATACTCGGCGTTTCACCACTCTCACTTAATTAGAACTAAAGTTATCGTGTCCCAAAGCATCAACCAATCAAATTGGTTATCTCTGCTTACCCTAATCAGAAAATGCTCATCCTCGCACTTCATCAAGGCATTGACCTAATAAACACCTACACCAAGTTTGAACATTCTAGCTCAATTAGAAGGAGAATTATTGTGTTCCAAATTCTCTGCCAATCAAATTGCTTATCGCTCTGCTTACCCGGAGCAGAAAATGCTCATTATCGAACTTAGTCAAGGCATTGATGTAATGAAACTATACACCAAGTTTCATCACTCTCACTTAATTAGAACTAAAGTTATCATGTCCCAAAGCATCAACCAATCAAATTGCTTATCTCTGCTTACCCTAAGCAGAAAATGCTCATCTTCGAACTCCATCAAGGCATTGACCTAATAAACACCTATACTAAGTTTGAACATTCTAGCACAATTATAAAGAAAGTTATTGTGTCCCCAAAAGTGTGATGGACAGACAGACAGATAGACGGACAGACAGACAGACAGACGAAACCATTTTAATAGTTCCCTTTCTTCGAAAAGCGGGGGACAATTAGAAATTTTGTAGTTACCTTCCAAAATTCAAAATGTGAGCTCATATGATTGAACTAACACAAATCTGAGTCAATTAGAAAACAACAAAAGCTTTTCAACCACTGGCAAACAAAACTCTAATTTTCTCAATGGGCCTGCAGGTTAAATAACTGTATAAAATTGTTTACTAGAATTTGATTACCATCATTAGTTATTAATGAGGAATATATTTCCTATAAAATATATTCTCTTTATACAGGTCATAAAACAGTGCATGGTCTCCAATAAAGTTCAATAATTTATACTCACGCATTTCCTGTACCATCGTATACCCAACGATTAACAGCTAAGCCTTCGTAAACAGACGCAGCATAATAACCGCATGTTTCAATATGAATTAAAAATAACATATATGTCATGGTCTTAATAATTCTGAAAAAAAAGAAAAATTGTTCTCTTACAGATAATATTAAAAGTCTTAGATTGTATTATATTATTTATTCTTGTATTTGATTTTTATATACTTGGAGATCAGGTAAAAAATCAGGCCTGTACATCACAAAAAGAGACAGCCACACTAAATGTGGTAATATGCTACAACAGCAGCCATGTTTTTGGGGTTTTTTTTAAATTATAGCCGCAGACAGCAGCTTGGTTGGATGTTCACCAATTTGATAAGAATTTTTTCTCTGCTTTCAAGAAATATCATGACCCCAACGCTTCACATCAAATAAGAAAAAGACTGTTAAAAACTGTAACCTCTATAGCATTAACAAGGTTTAATACAGAATCAATAGGATTCATCCTGTGGCAACTGAAATCTGGATGCATAAAATCCCTTGTTCTAAAAATATCTGCTGATCATGTGATTCAATTGTTATTTGTTAATTTTTATTATGTTTTTTAGCCTGCATAAGCATAACAATGAAAGGTAAAAAAAAATGTACCTGATTGTATGAGCTGTAGATTTTGCTGCCTGGTCACATCTCTCATAAAATTCCCAAAATGTTTGAATCTGAAATGAGATGGTATAAAGATTTAGAAAGAAATAATTAATGACTATTTTTATTGACTAAAGCCTAACATTACATTCTTAATTACACATGCATATTTTCCATCCAACTGCATTAAACAATCTAAATAAAATCAAATCAAAAGGATACAAATAAAAATTGACATCAATATCACTCTGAGGTTTCTCTGTAACGCTGTAGTTGGGGTCCACTAATAAAGTTTGAATCATAGCGAGACTGAAGGACTAGTCCAAGATTTTTTACCTTTAATAACCTGGGTACACGAAGCCATGGATTAACTCCTACCAATAAATAAAACAGATCTAAGGGCATCAATGCTAGAACATCTAACTGTAATATAAAATAACATCATCATACATCATCAATTCACAAAAATTTCTAAAAAGAAATCATTTCGATTAGAAAAGTGATAGTACAAAAAAATATGTTAGTGAAGTAACATCTTCAAGTTCAAATAAAAAGTGATATCAGTAGTTCCAGAAAGAGTAAGCATACTCAGCCTTTTACATGAATTCCATCACATATTATATATATCAACTTACATTTAAGATTGAATGGCCAGCAATATGCAATGTAACTAATCAATAATTTGTAATTAAACAACTTTGAGTAACTTGCAGCTATTCCATAATTTGTATTTGAACAACAAAGTAATTTGTCAACAAAAAAACGTGCTAAAATCTTACTTACCCTAAACATCCATTTTCTCATGTAATGCTTTTTGGTTTCCTTTCTATTTGTCTATTAAAGTTGGAAAACAAAATATTACATATAATATGTGAAATATATAAATGTATCTTAAGTTAAGATACATTTATATTTTCACATATTATATATGTAATATTATATTGTGCAAAGTATGGTATGAAATAAGTTAAGATTCTTAACTCATTTCATACCATGCTTTGCACAACATAATATATGAAATATATAATTGTACATTAACTCATTCCATACCATACTTTGCACCCATAAAAGCGTGGAAGGTAAAATGATTTTTAGGTTATACTACTGTTATTTGTTAAAAAAAAAGACCTCAAAATTTTGAGATGCATTCTAAAGCACCATGTTTCTATTATATTACATGGAAATATGTAAACAAAAGTAACCATATTTCAGCGTTGATAGGATGCTAAATATTATTCTGTTAAATTGGTTTCCAGAAAATCCAAGGAATATAAAAAATCTTAATATTAACATCAATAATATATATATCTTAACTTACCTCAACAATGCCATTATTGATAAAACGTAAACGAACTTTAAATACAAGGATATCAATAATATAGAGGAAATCACACAAGTAATCAACAACCAGCCAATAAATAAGGGTATCTTTTGTCTGGTAGGGAAAAACACCACGTAATGGTATTACCCATGCATTATACATATATGCCATCATTACCAAAAATAACCAAGACACATACCACTTGCCTGAAACAATACAATAAACATTTCATACAAATACTGATTTTTCACATCAGAAAATAAAGCTTTTGCTTTAGCACTGTATGTTTCACGAAAACCAGTCTATATCATCTATAGTCAGGGGCGGATCCACATGGTCAAAGTGAGTACTACTAGTACCACTAGTGTGAATAAACCTACTTTAAAACTAGATACCGCTACTTTAATAACCAGGAAACAAACTATATTAAAGTTTATCGTATTGCACCAATCTTCACTGGGCAGCACCAAAACTGTTCAAATAAGATGTATTAATGAAGAAAGTCCATGGATTAAGCTTTCTGAATTGAAGCTAGTGAATTGAAGATGGCACAAGTAGTTAGGAAATGTAATAAACAAGGGAAAACTAACATTAAAAATAAAGAAAAAAAGTTGTTGCCAGGGTAAAACATTTTTGGGGAAAAAGTATGAAAAATGTAGGTACCCATATCTCTGGCACTAATAAAGATAAATCAATGTCTCATTTTCGGAGTGCTTATTCTTTAATGATAACCCCCAAGCCAGACAGAGAGTTTTTCTCTATAATTTTTATAGTTTCTTAGAAAATGGTGTTTAAAACATTTGCCTCACCACAATATTTTGTCTTTGGAGAAATATTTTGAAAACTTTTGAAATATTAATGATAATTCAAATTGCTTTCTGTCTGATTCTGTGGTAGATATTAGTTTATATATCCTGCAAATTTGGCGAAGATATCTTAATTAGTTACAGAGATATAGTGTACCAATGTTTTTCATAATTTTTTTCAAAATATGAATTACCCTGGCAACAACTTTTTTTAATGCTAGTTTTCCCTTGTTTATTGCATTTCCTAACTACTTGTACTATTTTCAATTTAACAGCTTTAACATTTCAGAATAATAATTTTCGGATAGCCTCCCCCCTTAACATCTTAAGCCCAGTTCACAAATTTGCTCACATTTGCTAGAATATGCATGAATTTTAAGTAATGTTTGTAAATCTCAAGGGGATCTTGAAAATGTTATCCAGAATAAGTCCATTCGATTATGGTCTTTCATAATAGAAAATCTAATATCATATCTTCGAAGGATAAGTCAAATATTCCCATATCTTATGTACAAAGTTAAATCTGTATTAGCAATAACATGAGACTCAACCAGTTGAACGAATACGTACAACCATGGCGCCATAACAAATGTTATAAGGGCTGGGGAGAAGCTGTTCAACTATCGTATGTGTATTGCAAGCAGGACCATCGGAAATGCCTTTGGGACATAAGGGACATCCGTTCCATAAATGTTTCTTGTGTGATACGACACAATACTTGTGAAGTTAAAACAATATTTGTTAAGTTAACAATAAGGTTTATAATGATATCTGCATGGATGAGACAAGCAAGACACAAATTCACTATGTGCACATGTGCACAGGTATAAAATATACACTTGTATTACTTCCTAACTTGGGTGTGAATATACCTCTAGTACAAATTTATACTTGCACATGGGTGAAGCTAGCACACCTATGTAACTGTGCATGGTATGTATAAAGATGCATTCAAATTGGGTATAAGATAAGATGTAAAAAATGTTTGAAAAGAATCATCCATCTAGATAAAACAACCTACTCTGTGGTTCCATGGTATCTGGGAATTTTAATTTACGTAACCATTTGGGAAGTTTAAACCGACAGGACCACACACCAACAAAAGTGTCTTTATCTGCTTCAGAGAAAGCTTCACTTGTCTGTGACCCCATAGGTATAAATGATCCAAGTCGGATATTTCTAGGTGGCGGCGGATCATCCACATCAGATATTGCTGAAAAAGTAACAAAAAGATTAACTAATCCCTTATTTACCAAGCGTTTGTTTTGTAATCCTGCAGACACAAGTTTGCCCATATATAAACACTACCCAACAAAATATGTTAATATTTTATGGTATTAACAGCATTGGTGAGAATTAAACAGCAACATAAGCTTAAGTTACCTCATTAAGCTTTAATCTCAGAAAAAATTTCCAGGCTATCATTGTTAATAACTCTGAAAAACCTCAGAAATATAACTGGAGGCAAATGAAAAATAATGACCCCATAAATGACAATTGCTGACTTAAATTCTTGACAAGGATCCATGACTTTCAAATTATATACTGAACTGGATTTGAATCAGTATTGATTTGATATCCAATAAATCAAGCATACAAAATGCAATAATCTTTAATGACTCTCAATATTTTAAACCGAGGATTACTTTGTCAATAAATATAATGGCACTATTGATATGTGTTTGGAGCATAAATGTGTCACAATAAAATGATTATAAGTGAAACTGGTTGTATTGTAACTAGCTATAAGTTGTATACAGAATTTGGTTAGATTATTTTTTGTCTTATCATTGATTTTATTAATTTTCTCATAAAACTAAATCTGCCATGATCTTAAATTGCATTTCAATATTATTATTATTATGAATACAATTATCTTTACAATAATGACTACTACAATTCTTAATATATAGTCTCAAGTCCTAGGGGGGTTGGATGGCTGAATGGTTAGCGTGTGCGCGCTGTATCATAAAGTCTGTCATTGAGTCAACTGGTGTGGTTTCGTATCCCCGGCTGTACGTGACAAGGAGTAGGGTTGCCTGTCCAACCTTGTGGGTTTTCTCCGGGTGAACCAATAAAGAAGTTGGATTTACATTGTCTTAATTTAAAAATTACATGAATAGGAGTTAGAAATTACATGAATAGAATTAAAAATTACATGAATAGAAGTTAGAAATTAGACGATAGCACACATTAGAATTTCGAATCTTATATACCGCCATAAATCTGACCAGACCCAGCTCCATTGTTCACAAAATTTGTATGCTTCAGAAATTCTGGTGCCTACACACTACACTTCATAAAAAAAAAATACTGTATGTAATGTAAAATTATATTTATTCCATTATTGACATGTTGCAAGAATATACATCTCAATTACAACTGGATCTAAAGTATCCCGTGGTTTCCCCTTGTCAGTGGTGCAGAACGGAGGGCCTGACAAGGACAGCTGTCTAGTCCTTTGGATGAGACGAAAAACTGAGGTCCCGTGTATACATTGGAATGCACGTAAAAGATCCCTTGGCAGTTGGAATTCGATATAAGAGTAGGCGATAGTGCCGCTGCCCAGGCAAAATTTCCCTCATAGCACACTGTATGGCGTATGCCCGTCATCATTAGCCCCGTATAGGAGCAGAACAGTAGGACGTTAAACCCCATTTCATTTCATTTCATTTCTAAAGTATCCCTTCATGAAGTAATTGTAGTTCTAAAATGCCTAATAAAAAAGCATTTGCCATTAGAAATATTCATTCCATTTGTGTTATTATGGTTATATGCATCTAATCAATGTCAGTGGCAAACTACTCAAAATTTGTTTATCAAGAAACTAATTGTGTAATGCATGGCTGCCAGAATAAATGTGATAAATATTTGAACGTATATATCAAATCTTTAATATAAAATTAAAAAACTGCATTGTGCAATACATGTTACTAAATCAGGATTTATTTGTTCTACAATGTCAATGATTTTGTTACTGTCGTTATCTGGGGATATAGAATAGTAGGCAGCAAATAAAGAACTTAATGGATCGGTGTTTGCAGCCTATATTTTCCAAAAGACAAATAAAAGTATTGATTACACAAACACCTAGTATTAATCTAACCTTACAATGTTTGTAAATGATGAAACTCTACCAAAACCCATTAACTGACATTGTCAAATATTGTTTATAAGGCATTTAGTGATAGGACTAACACTGACATTGTCACAGTCAATCTGTCTATATTTTAAAAATATAAAACAATCCAAAAAAAACATTTTACCTCCAATTTTCATACTTCACATTCAAATATATCATATAATAATATCATATACCAGTAACAGATTGTCATCCAAGAAAAACATAATACAGATTATCCGTCATTTGAATACACTTAAATAATGATAGTTGTTGAGTAGAACCTACGGAAGATTATGGTTGCCGTTGCTAACACAATCAATCAATGATCAACACACAGATCCCACGTTTATAGCTAGATGCTGTAAGGCCTTTTATGATGTTGACTCAACTACTATATTTATTTATTAACTGCAGTTTGAAAAGAAAAATAATGGCTTCTAAAAACTGAAGAGTTTCCTGTAATTATTTAACAAATGAAATGGGGTTTAATGTACTACTTTTCAGAACCAACTGAGAAAATGAAGATAGACATATTATGCCTTGCCATATGCTATGGGGAAAATTTTGCTCAGGCAGCATTTCTGCCTCCTCTACATCTAGATTGAATTGCAATTGCCAAGAATTTTTTTACGTGCACGTCAGACATTGTTCATTGCAATGCCCTCTTTCCTGCACTAAGGGAAAGGAGACTGGAAACTAGTAATGGTCTGATAATCGGTTTCAACATTGGTAATTTGCCGATAAGTGGCCTATCGGGAGAGATCGATATCAGCTGATACACAGCCACTTTGCCGATACTGGAGTTGCCGATATCTGTTCAAAACGACTTGGTAAATACCTTTAAAATATTATCCTAGTTGTGAACAAATCATTATTTTGCTTGAAACATGGTACATCTAAATAGTCACGTGCACGGCAACCGAAATAAAAGTTTTATTTTGGTTGCCGTGCTTATTGCTATTTAGATGTACCGATAATACAAGACTCTCAAGTCATAGCGACTGTAAAAAGGAAAGAATAAACAGTACAAAATCCTTACCGGTCTTCGTTATCTAAATTGCCACGCGCACAGCTATTTAGACCTACCGGTAATATAAGACTCTCATAGGGGCCGTAAAAAGAAAAGAATAAACAGTACAAAATCCTTACTGGTCTCTGTTATTTTTTAAATCCTTACTCACACACTGTTTGAGAGTTAGTCTCTCAATGTGATTTGTGAGAATACCATTTCTGCGCATGTGCAGACAGACATTAACGTACAACAGTCTAACTGATAAAACTTTTGATTGAAATAGAGAATAAGCCAATTGCATGATGATCAAAATCATAGAATTGGAGAACACAGTCAGTACGTTGCGGATCTGATCTGTTTTCAATGGGTGCTGATATTACAAGATCACAAACTAGAACAATACCTAATTAGGCTATTGAATTTTTTATTTAAATTGTTTCTGATAAGTAATAACAAATTTATTAAACATGAAATAAATAATGGTCCTCACAAAAGTTAGCCTATTTGTCTATCACGATAATAAAACTAAACAAGATGTCAACAATGGCTGATGATAGCATACCGTGCTGTTATGAAGCGTCGCAAGTTTTACATTTGGGGGGCGAATGGTTAGCACATGCGTGTTGTATTATCAGGTCTGTCATTGAGTCAACGGGCATGGTTTCGCTTCCCCGGTTGTACGTGACAAGGAGTAGGGTCACCTGTCCAACCTCGTGGGTTTTCTCCGGGTCCCCCGGTTTCCTCCCACTGCTAAAGACCCCTACACGCAAGCGAATTATTGAAATAAAATTGAATCCTATGTTAGTCCCGAAATGACCCAGTTGTGTCGAGTGGACATTAAACCCCATTTCTCTCTTTCTCCCTCTCTTAGATTTGGCCTTACTTTGATCTGGAAATAGTTCCAAATCTTACTACTTCACGACATTTTTTTCCTTCGTTTTATCTAGTTCACTGCTGGTATTGTCTGCACACTATCAAAACAAGTAGAACTTTTGGAAAAGGCGGGAAAATATCACATGGTTTACGCTAGATAACAAACCTCATCTCTTAACCCTCCGTACGTGTTTCGAGATAAGAGATGGTCCTATATAGTTCAATGTAGCAAAGCCGAACTCGAATCGCATCGGGCCTCAGTAAGCAAAATTGACAATATATTTCATTAAAACAACGATTGATTATTATTATTTATAATATTTCTGCCACACCCAACTACAATTAAGCATATAATCCTGCCTGAAACGGGTATAAATCATTGTATTTAAAATCGAGGCGTTAAGCCATTACTTTATAAGAATGCCATTTTTTTTTAGACGGGAGACGTTTGACCAACTGTCATCATGAAGGCGGAGCTAAATATAAGACTTTTATAACAGCCAATCAAAAAGGCAATGTCTAAAGCACCGTAACTATAAATGGACTTAAATGGCAGCGTATGTCGTATAAAAACAATGCTTCATTAATTTAACCACGAATATCTGGAGTTAGGCAATAGTTGTGCCACTACATTGAATTGGCCTAGACTCTAAGTTTAATTAGTCATAATAGTATAAAATTATCTTATTTTCAAGATGTTACATGCATTAATAAAGAAACTGTGTTTGCCACTTGGTACTAAAGGCATCCAATCGTAGCTAAAAACAAGCACATCAGCATATCTCAACGATTTTAGCTACGTTCTCGTAGCTAGGTTTATGCGTGATTGGATTGAGTATGAAAGGGAGGATATCCCTTTGATGTCATGTAATTACTGTCCGATATTCCAGCTTCTAGATGCCAATAAAAATTTAGAAATAATTTAGTGATTTGTATTTTTATGCCAGGATACCTTAAAATTTTACCTAATTTACATCAACAGATAATAACTCATAATATAGATCATACTTTATTAATTAATAATATTACCAACAAATAAGTTGGCGGGCGAATGTCACTCATTACCGCCTAAACCCTTCTGACATCTATTATAGGAGCTGATCACTTTAGGGAATGATATCGTTATCAATACTTAAAATATAATAATCTCAACTTTATTAATTAATGATACAGCAAATAATTAAGTTCTTAATAGATGGTGTGT